AAAGCAATAAAATTGCACATTGCTGTTGAATGTTTAACAGAATGTGAAAATGTTGCAAATCCCAATGAGAACATTGAATTTTGTTGTGGCCTTCAGCCTTTTTGAGATGATTGTAGCTCACAGACTTGAATGTTATAATGGATAAAATGTTCAGTTCATCGACTGTGTATAGAATGGACGTCTTCTGCCTCCTTACTTGGTGAAGCCTCTTGAAAACAGCACCCTCTGGTGATGGGCTGCAGTATAGGTCATAAACCCCGCCTCCTCCAGCAAAATTATGGGGTTGTGGACAAACTTTAAAAATTTATCACACAGAATATAAATTTTTCTCCCCCCTGGTTGTGATGTTGACATGTAGTTATTGTAAGACTGGTTTATGCTCAAGTGGTCTTTTTTTCTTTGCAGTTCCATTTTTAAAAGTTATTAGGGGGTTCATGTTTTCTATGATTTATACTTGATACAGCCTATGGGCTTACAAAGATTGTGTAGCTCATCTAGGGTTATACACTGTTTCAGCAGAGTGTCTTCACAGTGACTCTCCCACCAAACACGACTGCACTAATGCCAGTTTCAGGAAATAGAGAAAATTCCTGGAAATACTGAGCGCAATTTGGTTTCAAACAATGACGGAGCCACGTCGTCCATACATAAAGTATATTGTTCAGATTTTATTAGGAATTTATAGGTTTCAGTTTTAAAGCTGCACCACTATTAAACTATGATTTCTTTTGAAAGTACAACTTTTTGTTGCATTTCTGTCACCTTAATACAACAAAATATATCTGTTTTCAACCCAGAACAAGCCTTTTGTATCTATCCATCCATCACAGGAACCTAATGTCCTTAATGGCAGGTAGCTCTCTAACGTGAGTCTGGTCCTGCTCAAGGTTTCTGCCTGTTAAAGAGAAGTTCTTCTTATCCACTGTAACTTGCTAAATGCTGCAAAGTGCTTCACTCATGTTGGTTCCAGGTTAGTTAAAAATGGGTCTTATTTCTAGATGGGGCTTAATCTTTTCCCATCTGGGGTTAGAGAATAGACCTGCTCTGTTGGAAAGCATCTTGTGATGACAATTGTTGTGATTTGGTGCTATATAAATAATAATTGATTGATTAGTTGACCATCAACAAACTGACAGGAGGGGTGAGCAAGGGAGGGTTTCAATGTAGAACCATAGACTGCATATACTATGGACAACGTGGTTCCGCCTTCTGTCATTATACAAATTTGAAGCTGAAATACTTTGGGTATTTATGGGATTTTCTCCACTTCCTGGAACCACCACTTGTGCAGTACAGTTGTACGCATTCAGCAGGAGAGTCGCTGTCGCTGCTCAGACAGTGTATTCCCCGGGTGAGCTTAACAGTCTTTGTACGGCCATAGGCTGTATCAGGTGTCAATCATAGAAAACATGAACCCCCTTATTACTTTAAAAAATGGAGCTGCACAGAAAAAAAGAGGACTTGAGCGCAAACCAGTCTTGCAGTAACTACGAGTCAACATCGCAACCAGGGGGGGAGAAACATTTATATTCTGTGTAATAAATTTGTTAAGTTTGTCCACAGCTTAATAGGAATTGCTGGAGGAGGGGGGGTTTATGACCTATACTGGGTGGGAGGGTGCTGTTTTCGCGGTGGCTTCACCCAGCGAGGAGGCAGATGGCGTCCATTCTACATACAGTCTATGTTTAGAACTGACTGCTAGATATTTGTAAATAATCCCATTTGCACATACTATCCCTCTGGACATCACACTACTGTCAGCACAAAACAATTCACTTGAGAGAAGTCACAATTTAAAACACTAAAAGCAATTTTTGTAAGACATTTGGCCAGAAACTTTCAGAAGAAAAACTCAGAAACTCTACAATTTGTGTGACCGCCTGTGAATCATGTTTGTCTTCAACATATTGATTGTCTCCATAGTTCACAGAGCAGAGCTTGTGATAGCCATATATTATTTTAATTAATGTGACAGTTTTACTCTCACATCACAAAGAGAGAAATTTGGCAGCTAGAGGCGTTTCTGGTCTTGGGATGAGATTGTTCACACTCACAAACACAAAGGCACAGCTCCAGGCTGGAAACACACAGACACACATATAGGAATTGACAGACGAAAGCGCATGAGCGCACGCACACACACACACACACACACACACACACACACACACACACACACACACACACACACACACACACACACACGTAGTCAGGCAATTTGTGATTTAGGGTAATTGCATTTAACAAGCCTTCTGCGCTGACATCCAACCTCTATCAATTAAACATCAAATATTCTCCTCAACAGTTTTGCTGCCAAACACATTTTTCATTCCTTTAATCCTAAAAGCTGAAACTCAACCCAGTTAACATGCCAGCAGAGAGCGAGCCAAAGAGAGAGAGACAGAGACAGACAGACAGACAGACAGACAAACAGAGGAATCAAAGCATTTTAATCGAGCCCCACAGTGCAGTATGCTGTGGGTGGGTGTGTTTTTAAGGCAGCCAGAGTAGATGTGCATGCAATCATTTTTATACTTAAACCCCCACCCTCCTTTCTCTCCTTGCTCTCTCTCTCTCTCTGTCTCTCTCTCCTGCTCTCCCCTTTCTCCAGCCAAGGTCTCTCTCTCTCTCTCTCTCTCTCTCTCTCTCTCTCCTTCCCTCTATGTCCTATGTCTCTCTCTCTCTCCATGTCACTGTCTATAATGCACTCTGACAACACACAAATCACTGAAGTGGTTTCCCAGCAACAGGAGGGAGGGTTTGGGGGTTTGGACCCTTGTAGAGCCAAAAACGTCTTCCAGGAGAGGAAACTGATTCAGTGGAAGTCTTAAAAAAATCCTTTAGATCCAGTCAATAATCACCACCAGATTAAAAAAAAAAGGGTTGGGGGTGGGGGAGTGGAGGGAATGGGGGTTGGGGCATTGATTATTCTTGTTCTCTGCCACTCCACACACACAGGCAGCAAATAAAGAGCTGGGAAAGAGCCAGGGAAACAGCACGGCAGTCTGATGAAAGACAGTGGTGTTCTGGGCTTGTGGTCAGATATCGAAAGTGTCCCCTCTCATCTCTCCCTGCGCTTCCCTCTCTCAGCAGGAACCATGTTTTCCTCCCCCAACCACTCCCTCTGACCCACATTGATTTCTCTCTGCCTCCCCCTTGTGGCCGATACAAATCATGGCACCACCCCTCACCATAAGGTACAAACAAACACTACATTAACTGTACGTGATTGGACAAAGATTAAAATACAGAAGTCATTTTTCCACAATGTGGTACCATTACACTATAAAGTACACTTGTAAGGACATTTATACTTCGAACTAATGACTCTAATTGAGTTGTTAATCACTAACACATTATCTTTAACAGTGTTGAGAACAGTTGCCACATTATATGGACAAGGTTCAAAATGGAGTGCCTTATTACCCAGAAACCTGACATCTTTTCATACCAACTACTATTTCTTGGAGCATATGCATAACCAGTGGTATGCATAGTAGTGTCAATACTTCATTATCAGATTTGAAGTATAGACCAACACCTAAAAACATCTCAGTATTCATGTGTGAATATACTGTTCCTTTTTTTGCATTGATAAACATGTCTTTTGGCTCAACATTGAGGAAACTGTCAGGTTTTTTCATGCCCATGAGGTGAATAACCTAAACAAACATGGTCCAGAGCATGAGGTTTCAATACAAACATTCCCAACGGTTAACTACATTAGCCTGATAGGTGATTGCAGTAGGTTTTAAGTTCAAATAAACTCTGTTTGATTTGATATCATGGATGGTATTGAAAGTCTGAATTTCAAGTATTCCTACCCTGAGTTTTAAATATACCTTAACCTGAACATTACCTTAACATTTAAGCTTCAGGATGTAGACAGGAGGTGTGAACGGCGGCCTGAGGCCAAAACATCAATCACCTGCAGAGCTGTTGGCTTAATTTCAGGTGCTGCAGTGGAGAAAAAACATCAACTCTGCACTGTTGTTCAGTTACACAGTGCTCCACAGTGTTTGACATGACAAATTTGAGCCAGCAGAAAACTCCCAAGTGAGTCACACTATTTGTCTGTCCAGAAACCCAGAGGTGGGCTTTTATGAGGTCACCCAAGCATGTTTGTGAGATTTATATTTTTTATGACTGATCGATCTACACTTATGTGTGAGCATATTCAAACAAAACGACATTGACCAAGTTTCACTTTTCATCTATCCCTCCAAATGTCACTTTGTTTCATGTCTTGCTTCCCCTAGTGGCTAAGAATGGCGTGCATACGTTACTTGCACATGCACGGATTCTCCCCATTAAGCCTGAATTGAGTCCACATTTTTAGAAATAACCTACCCAGAGAAATTTATAGAGTTCTTCCAATGGAAAGACTTACCGCTAAATTGAAAGATAGTAAAGACAAATTCATAGATTTGTGGCGGGTATGCAGTATCTGTAAGAATGTGTAACAGTGTGTGTATCAGTAATCAAGAATGATTATGTGCTGCCTGCCACCCCTCTTTTTTCTTTTCTTTTCCTTTTTTTTGTTTGTTTGTTTTTTGTTTTGTTTTGTTTGGTTGGTGTCCTCTTAATTTTAAGTTATATCAATTTTTTGCAAATAATTATTGACACATATTTTAGTATTAAAACGGGAAACCCAATAAAATATTGTAAAAAAAAAAAGAAGAAATAACATACCTTTTATCTTTATGATGAAAAGAAAAACAGAGTTAGTAAAGGGTCTAGATTCAGATGTTAGAGGAGCACAATAATTGATGTAGTCAGACAAAAGAAAACACTTCAGATTATTTGATGGAGCCAAAAAATGATGAAAATAATGTTTAGCACAGAAAGACTAGAAAATTCCCTCCGGGCAATTCTGAAAGAGCCACAGGGGCTAATGCTGGGCTACTGGGTGCGTACATTATGATGAGATTCCTCAGAGATGTCAAATAATTAATATGAGTAGCATTGTGATATAATAAGGAGCACATCTATGACAAACGTTCCTTTTTCAAGTATTTATTTATACAACAGAATAAAATAGAGCCAAAGCAGTGGACATTTGAAAAACTTTCAGAAATACTCAGTGAAGCTGAAACAACTCATGTTAACTACTGTTTCTATATAAGCGTCTCCCCAGGACTCTGGATGCCTCCTCCACTATTGCCAAGCTACAAATTCCTGTGTTCATTTAAGTGACAAATATGGACCCCAAATTTGACTTGTACAGTTCTGGAGCAGACAAATGGTAATGACAAAGATCAGAGATGGTGGTGTCAGTTTGGTGAGTGTTGCATTCATTGTGCTCTTTAGGAGGAGTTCTCTTCTCACTGAAGTCAAATTTGATCAAATCTCATGTACCTCTCATGTAACACTTAGCACTTAGGAAACCTTGCAGACAAGCCGTTCAGTATCATGAAATTACTCCAACTACATTCATCCTTACAATCTCAAACTTCGCCCATTTTTCATATATATACTGTGTAAAAGCATAATACCTTCCTTTTTATTTTAAAAAACTGTCCATCTTCTTGTAGCTGTAGCGTCTTTGTGCTTCTTAAAAATACTTTGATGCACACTTGAACTAAGACATCATGAGTAGTTTCAAATGTCACCATCATGAGAAGTAAAAGTACTAAAATAGGTCAGGAAATTTTATCTGAGGTTGTGCAAACTATTAAAGTAGACTTCATCAAAAACGGTCAATTCTGCCAATACAACTTTTAAAAACCTGAGGGCTGCCTTGCGCTGTTTTTAAAAAGCTGACAGTAAACTTATGAGGAATGTTTATGAATGCCAGTGAAGCAGACAAGTGGAGATGTGAAACAAAAGGGTTATAGCAAGAAGTTTCAAAGTGGATGTTTTTCTTATTGGGAAATATTGAACGCTGTCCATCTGCTGTGATGTTTTATAAAATGTTTAAATGTATTTGTTTAAAAACAAAGGCCTCAAAACAGAAGTGACATACATGTTTCTTGGTGAAAATGGACAAAGGATTTTGAAAATTAAGTATAAAGCACATCATGACAGTCCTCCTTCACCGACTTACTCAGAAGTATCATAGATACATACACGTTTATAATATGTTATATTATATTCTTCCAAATGATTCTGATTATTTACAGTAATGATAAATAGCCCTCATGGAAATGATCCTTCTTATGTTTGCATATTTTCTATATTTTAAAAGATCCTTCTCTGTTCTCATTTCCCCTTCACCACAGATCAGGCTCCACCCAGACAATCTTCTTTTGCTCCTCCCAGATTATGGTGCGCAGGCGTGTCAGCAGGGAGGCCTGATCACACCAGGAGTCTGGAGCCACGCTGTGATACAGACATGGCAGCTTATCCAGGAGCGGCTCCTCGCTCCTCGAACATGCCAGCAGCTGCTCTTCAGACTGACTGTGGCGATTTAGCTTTGTCCTGGACAGAAAGAATAAAATAACAGGAGAGCAAAATTCATTCAGGATCTTTTTCTTTGGTCTGGTCCTAGATGAAGACAGTCAAAATGTAGAAACTTAAGAATGATCTGGTTAGTTTCTCACAGCTAAAACAAAAAAAAATTCAGCAAAACAAATCACTTTGCTGTCAAAGCTCAGGTTTTCAGGTGTTGATCATCTGAATCAGAGAGAACAGGTCTCTCCGTGGATGAAGTGTGAACAGTCAACAACTGCAGGAGCAAAACATTTCCCTGACAGGCCAGAGATACCAGTTTTTCCAGTGAAGGATGCTTCAGTGGAACAGAACTCTTTGCAGCTGCAGGAGGGCATAACTTTCTTTGTTGTCATACCTGGTTGCTTTTGGAGATCATTTCAATCTGATATCAGTGTCATGAGAAAAGAGTTGAGCTCTGTGAGGGTGTGTTAAAAGGAGGAGGAAAGTTTACCTCAGTTTACGTGCAGTACGTGCAGACTGGCCGATGAAAATGATGATGGGAAAGATCTGAGCCCTGTGCAGCCGACGCACACAGTCCAGCCCTAAAGGCAGCACGCAGTGGATCCCCTGTTATAGGAAAGGAAGGGAGGAATGGATAGAATTAACTCATGCAGATTGCTAACTTGTGTGCAATGGAAGTGTGGGCATGATCATATTTAGGTCTTCATAGTTCATTTAGTGGGAGCTAGTTCAGGCAGGCCACTTAAGCTGCATTGATTTCACATTTGTGATGCCTCATTCTCACCATCACCTGACAATATATCCCCATGATTCAGTGGTCTACTTAAGCTGCAAGATTTTTCGTCTCTGCCTCTGTTTTGCCACTGCTACCTTGTCCAGTCCAGTGATTTAACTTTTAACTCTACTACCCAGCCTTCACCTGCAGGCTCTGACTATAAGGGGGTTAAGATATTATCTCAAAGGTGCAAAAATGCAATGGTCAGTCTTAAAGGAGGGATGAAGATTCTAGAGGCAAAACACAAACCAGGATTGGCTGCTGTAATTATTTTTTTAAAGTAAGATGCACATACTTCTAATTTTACTATGTGCACAGTGAATATGAAATCAGTTAGGATGCAGAAAGAAAAGTCAGCTAATGGGAATGCTCCCAGTTTGATGTGGGAAGTGTGTCATTTTGACCTGAAGATGGTGCTGGAGATTAAAGGCTCCATTTCTCTGCCACTGCTCTAAGAGAAACACAGCAGTAGGATTTTGTCCAGGCAATACGAGTATCTCAAGATGCATTAACCACTCTCGGTTAGGACAGACACAGAAAATACAAATAAGCTGAGTGCGACTGAAAAAGATGAATCTAATTCAAAAATGAGATCTCTGCCAGTCATGTCACAAGTGTCATCTGAAGCTTCGTTTCCATCAAAATATGTCTATCAACCTCTCCTTCCACCAAATGCACAAAATTTGCAATTCAATATTTCATAACAATGACATCCAATAGTGAGATACATTATCAACATACAACCATGGTACACAAGGGAAGGTGTCACTGGATTTCACCCCCTGTAAACTATGCCCATACTTGCCAACCCTCCCTCCTTTTTCCATCTTTTTCTAGGTTTTCTTCTTCCCACCTCACCTCGGGATTTTCATGACCCTGCAACCTTATTATAAAAAAAACCCACATCGCCCACACAGATACATCTGATTTCTTCTGGTGCCCCAACACCAAAGCAGCTTAATCATCTATGAATCACAATACACATTCATAATCCACAGCAACATGTAATTCAAATGCCTAGCTCATAACGTTATTCAAGTGGGAATTTTATTGACTAAGGCAATCTGGCAGTTTGTGTTGGAGGTTCTGACCTTCTTCATGACTTTTTCTACACTCTGCAGTGTGTAGCAGCAGTTTCTGTCCTGATCAGACTCCTCCAGGATCTCAGACCTCTGCAGACGGACTGCATGCTCACTGGAGCTCAGCACCTCTGTAGAGTGAAAGGGTGAAGAGGAAGGGGAAAGAGAAATTGAGAGAAAAGTCACGGCATAATAACATCTTTGTGGTTATGTTTTGAAGACGTGTACAAGGGTTGTGCATTTTTTCATTTTGTGACAGTGTTATGCATCTTTACCTTCGTGGCTATTGAGACATTGACATTTGTTTGAGTCTGGATGACATGTTTTTGTATTCACTTCATTACAGTTGTCTTTTAAATAATACAGCTTCCTGGCAAAGCACATAAAGCTTTCATTTCACCTTATCATAGCAGTGCACAGACCAACATTTACTGTCTTTATAGCCTCTCTCATTTTTATTACTGTTTATAGACAAAGTTAATTTCCTTCCTGGTTTGTGGCAACAGATGCACGTGCTCTGTTAATTAAACAAATTTCTCCTAAGGGGCATAAAAGAGTGTTGTTTTGCATCTAAAAAAAGCCCTTGCTGACACATTGCTCCAGCATAACAAGATATGAAATATAAACACACAGGTTTGAATGAAATGCACAACAACAGAGATTTTCTCACCAGGTTCACACAGCTGGAAGCCCTGCCATCCCGCCAGCTTCTTGTCCAGGACACGACCCAGGATGCTGGGCAGCAGCAAGATGGGTCTGCAGATGGGTGGGTAGTGGGGTGTGACCAGAGTGTAAGGCATGAGGGACATAAAGGTTTTAGATGCTGATGAATCACCTGCATAGAAAATGGAAAACATTTTGGATAAAGGTATATGTTTCAAAAGAAAAATCATTCAAATGTTCATCAAACAGGTGATTCAAGGCCGTGAAACAACACCTGAGTCTGCACTTTTGGCCTTGTCATCCTCCACACTGATCCACAACGGGTTCCTGCCCTGTCGCCCGGTGCTGACGATCCTCACTGCTTTCTCTTTATTCTGAGACACCACCCTCCAAGCCTTGTGACACGTAAAAATCTTTAAGGGAAGAAGTTCACCATTGATATTTTGGACAGGTTAAACAGTTGACAGTATTTATCATCATTCTTACCTTTTGTGACTTCTTAGTCTGGAAGCTAATTTCCTCTATTGCATGGATCAAAAGCCGTTGTGCCCTGTGTCATAAAAAGGGACATTTTAAGTGCCTTATGTGGTGATTTCAGTTCACTGTCAATTTTTTTGATGACTTTTGGCTTCCCTCTTATTCCCCTCCTCAACAATACTGACTAATATGTATACATGTATATATATGTATACATATTATTATATAGATATTCCAATGTAATCCAATTAAGATTTTTTTTCTTTTCTCTTTAAATTCTCCATTACATATTATATAAATTCTTTCCCCCTCCCCTCCCTCACAAAAGTATTTTTGTAATTTTTTTATCTTTTATCTTTTTGTTGTTGATTCTGTTGTTGTCGTCACTCTGTTTTGTTGTTAAATAAAAAAAAATAAAAAAACTGACTAACTAAGCTATGAAGAAGAGTATCTGTGAACCTCAGTTAACCTTGGAGCAGATGGACTACAGCAGAATAAGACCACACCTGGCAGCGCCTCTGCTGTCAGCTAACAACTGGGGACTGAGGCTACTATTCATGTAGGCTCACCAATATTGGACAATAGAAGATTGAAAAAGCAGTGCTTGGTCTGATGAGTCTTGATTTAGATGGTGTGGCTCGAATTTGGCGTAGACGACATAAAAGCATAGATCCATCCTGCCCCATATCAATGAAAGAAGAATGTTTCCAGCACCTTTTAGTTTTTGCCAGAGAATCAAGGTGGTTCTGGAGGCTGAAGAGGTCCAACACAGCACTCCAAAAGATGTATCCAATAAAGGTGCAGATGAGTGGATATTTATCTTTCACTGCACCAACCTGTAATAGTTCGGAACTGTTCCACTCTGAAGGTCCAGTAGCTGACAGGGATGAACTTGGCTGGCGTTCCATGAATCCTCCGTTCCCCCTGGTCGTGTGTTGGTCACATGAAGGATGTCGTTGCAGGACATGGCTAAAGTTCCATTTGGACCAGCAGGCAAGGACATGTTGACACGGACGTAAAAAGAGTCCCCTGATGATGTCTCATTACTCTGTAACTGCTGCAGCAGTGCTTCATAGTCTGGAAAGGCACAGGAGGAAATGTGACCAAGAGGACTGCACATTTGTATCTTAGGTATCATACTAGATAAAGTCTTCACTCGCTCTATAGCTGAATTATTGTTAACTCATTTCAAGTTTTACAATGTACTGTGCTTTTGTCAGAAAAAACAGAGCTAATATTTGGCATTTGGCCCTTTATTTTACAGATAGCTGCTGAAATTCATCAATCATAACTGGCATCACAGCATTTTTGGCTGTGATGCCAGTGTGTCTTTCCCTCTAGGGGCCTCATTTATCGACCGTGTGTAAGCACAGATGTGTGCGTAATGAGTGCATACAAACATTCCCACGCAAAGTATGGAATTTATCAACCTGTACTTGTGCTAAGGAACGTGCGTAAATTTAGACACAACTCTGACCATGCTTACACACAAAATCTAGTGGTAGAACAGTGAAACTACAAATAGAACACATTAAAGGAGTCACAGCGCTCAGCAATCTCAAACCACACACATGTTCTCCGTTGCCTCTATACAAAATGTATCAATTAGTTATCGAGCAGACATTTTGAATGATTGGTGTGACAAGCTATAAAATTCATCTGTGACAGGACAACCTCAAAAGAAGTCTTACAAATACATATACAAGTATCATGTCTTATTTTGCACTATTGAAGGACTTGGAGAACCGTATGTGCATTTTCAAAGACCGTGCCTATCTGTTCAGTGAGAACACAGAGTGACTTTTCAGCAGGTACTCAAGCTGATTTCCAGCAGGAAACGTGCCCCTTGTTAGGTCAACCAAAATATCTGCTGAGACCAGTGGGCAAGGTTACTGAGACAATGCCCTATATTTAAAAGGCTTTAACATAATTAAGGCTGCAAACATTCCTTTATTGGATGTACAGCATAAAGCAAAACATATTTCTATGCAATCTTAAAAACACACCATTCTGTTTGGGCCGGAGGGAGAGCTGACAGGGGCCTGTGACTTGGCCAAGAGCCCACAAAGCCTCCTCCAAAGTGGAATCCTCCAGCACCATCCTCAGAGCCTTCTGGTTCTGCTGGTACTTCACCTACAGATCAACAATATCATTGGAAACACCCTCACAGTGCATAGAAAGGTTAGAATGACCGTAGTGACCAGAGACACTCTTAAACCTACCTGCACAATCTGTGCCCCGGGGCTGATCCCCACAGTATGGGCAGCGCTACCTTCTGTCACATGATGCACAAACACTCCAGTCTTATTGCCTCCTATCACTGCCAGCTGGCTGAGCAGCGCTTCCCCCTGGAAAGAGATGCTGAGGACTCTGCCGTTGATGCGGAGTGCTTTTGGACGAGAACGCATAAGGAAAGGAGGGGCTGAGGTTTTTGACAGGCTGCTGAGAGAGCAAGAGAGAGAGAGCAAAAAAAGATAATAAAGATAGGATAAAACTGTTCTGGCCTTGTGCTCATAGCAAAGGATCATCTCTTCATTTATGGTAGTAGACAATAAAGATTCACTTTTTACACAAGCACTGCAGTGTGGATTGTCTGTAAATTCTGTATGGATATTTATGTCTCTATTGGGAGTAGACCCTTGTGTCATCTCTTATGCTGTATTGCAGGTAACAGGTAAACAAAATGTCTTTGTATGGGGGAAATGTTACCACAGTGAGTGAATGAATCACCACCTCTACAGTGACAGAGAATTGAAGACCTGCAGAGCCAGTCAAATTCTCATCAGCCTCAGTTGTTTTTAGCTCTCTGTGCTTCATGCTTGCATGCCAACAAAGAGCACTGACAATATTATACTTGCAATGCATCATGTTTTTAATCTGGATTTTTAGCAAGTAGGTGCCACAATATGTTCTGTTGATTTAGTTTTTCACTGGTTTTGTTATTTGAGTGTATTTTCTGTTTTTTTCCCTAGTGTCTGTCACCTATTGTTCTTTTGATCCAGTCTTGTGAGTTTTCAGTTTGTGTTTGACCCTGTTTCCCTCATGTTCTCTGTGTTTTATTCTTTAGATCAGTTTTCAGTGTGTCCTGTTATATTTTGTAGTAGTCGATTCCCTGGGTTTCTGGTCTGGTTTCACTTCCCTAGTTTTCCCTCCTTCGTTAGTCACTCATGAGTTTCACCTGTCTCATTTGCCTCACCTGTTGCTCATTTTCCAGTGTGTGTATGTAGTCCCTGTCTTCCCCTCTGTCTTTGTTGGTTCATTGTATTTGTGGTGAGTGTCTTTCATAGTAGTAGTATTAGTAGTAGTAGTAGTAGTAGTGGTGGTAGTGGTAGTGGTAGTGGTAGTGGTAGTATCCCTAGTCCTCTTGTGTTTTTTTTTTTCCCCAGTGTCTTTTGTTAGATTTGCCTTTGGTTTTGAGTTGGACATTTTAAAGAAAGTTTTTGTTGTTTTTTCATTTAGTTCTTTTTAATTAAATCCTTTGTTCTGCATTTGGGTCCTTTTCTTTTGTTTAACCCTGGCTCATGACAGTAGGTGCTGATATAAGGCTTAAATCATGACTGTGCCAAACCTCAAGCATTGAATCTACATTTTTTTATTTTCAGAATGAAGGTTAATGACATCCATTTGGGATTTGAGTTTTTACAGCTTGTGATCAAATCAAGTCTGTGACAAAATAAATGGAGAGACTGTTTCATATTTGGTGATGTTCTACGCTTAAGAAAATGTGCTGACTTTTTGTTTGAAAGAGCTGTTGAGTGGTTTAGATAGACTTAGACTTAGGCTGTCAACGACATAGAACTGTCTGGTAATGAAAGCCAAGTCTGCATTTTTTTTGGTGCTAAAACTGCAAATTTGAAATCACACTTGTTGGAAACTGAATATAGCATTAGTTAGTTTGTCTGAATTATTGTATTCTTTGAAGATACTGTTGCTTCACAGATTAGAGGGGTGGATAAGGTACCTTTCAATTCTGACCTTTCATAGTTTACTTTTTAAATTTTAGAGTCAGAAATGTAGACCTCCAATAGTTTTTTTTTTTTCTCTCCAATCTAGTGTGCTGGATTACACTCAAAACCAAGGATCACTTGCTGCTCTACAGTTTGACATTATTTTTTCAGTATGCTGTCTCTAAATGATGATTAAAATAGAAGTTCACATATGGGCTAGAGATGGAGGCATTCAGTCGACAGTTGCTGTTCAAAGATAACGTAGCTCTCTTCTCTATTTTTCGTCTTGTGAATTTTCTATCACCCTGAGAGTTTAATGGACGATAACATATTAAATACAATCAAGCAGACTGCAGTGTACTTGTTCAAAATGTGTTGTGACAGCGAACTCGTAAATACAACAAGGCAGATTTGGTGGCAGACTCACCCATCATTAGCAGAGGAGAGCCTGGACATGTGCTTCTCTTCACTCATCACTAAACAAAAGAGGGGCTGTTTAATGACTTGGCATCAGGTTTGTTTCCTCGAGAATAATGTGCCTGAGTTAATATGTCACTTTACAGCCCTGGCAGAGGTACAACAGGGAAAAACTGCGAGAGGGGGCCATGCCAGACAACAGTCACCCGCCCCCCATGCACCCTCTATACATACACATAAACACACAAACACTCACTGAAACAAAGAACATTTACATGTTTGCTATACATACCATTGGGAATAAAAACAAAGCCATCCAAAAGAGAATCAGCCTCAGCTTGCTCCAAGCTATAAGATAGAAAGAGAGAGAAGAGCTACATGAACTCACCTGTCCCTTTCTGACACAAAAATATGTCCACAAAGATTGATAATGTTGGTTCAGGAGATTTAAACTGAGCTTACATGACACATGAGGAAATACCAAGTATGACATAACTATCTGTCAGTCCTAAACCTGAAGACAGGTTTTGTGGGTTCACCGTAAGTAACAATAAGTCTAAACCCTTGTTCTCACTTTGAACACTGACATGTTAAAAAAAGTGTTTTAAGCTGACATTTCCTCTGAAACCTGCTCATAACTCTACTTATTTGTGACCTAAATGTGTTTAATTGATGATCCATTTGAAAGTTGGAACAATAACCACAACAGAAAGGAATGCAAAGACACTTCCTTCCTGGTGGGTCTGCTGCCAACAGCTCTGTCATTTAAAAATAAATATACTTGCAAAGATGCATGCGTAGAAAATGGAAATACAATAACTGTGATACTTAAAACAGAGACCTATCAGCATAGAGGGCCTCCTCTCTTCTGCGGAGAGAATCTGGACCTGGGGGCTCTGCATTATTGGATCGGATACTACTAGCTGTAGGGTCTTCACACTGAAAAAGATACACATGGAATACATACTTGCTCTTCAGTAAAAAAGAAAAAAAACATTGTTAATTAAGACCACTTTTGTTAAAGAAAAAGATATTTTGCAAGCAATAAGTTGTATTTGGCTCCATTCTAAAAATTCCCTGCCCTTCCACGTACATATGTGGAAAAAGCCTGAGGCGGGGAGAGTACACCTCCCCCACATTCATGTGCATACCAGGTTCAGAGCAGGCATTGTTCACAACTCGTGAAAAATCAGGCGTACCATAAAAAGGAGAAGCTGTGGTGAAAACAGGGTACAAAGCACTTTGCGAGGGAAGCAGCATGAGCAGGCAGGCTGAAGCAGTTTAAATGGAACACTACTTTCCATGAAGGGTCCAGATAAACATTTGACGTGCTGAGGGAATTTGCTGAGATGAGCTAAAATGAGCTGTTGTTAGGCTCAGTTGGTGAACTGTTGACTGAGCTTGACTCGGTAGACTTTTTGAACTTATACTTTGCTCAATTAGTCTGAATTTAAGGAAGTAATTCACAAAGCACATTGCAATTGCAAAAAAACATCTTCTGTAGATACCAAACGAACCAAGCCATTTTTGTAAATACTATAAATGTGATTATTTGTCTTTAATTGCTTTCGAATTTCTCTACTACACTTATGGCACTCAGCCCTAAGACCTTTAGTTGCTATATTTAATTCTAAACTTTTCAAAAAGGTTATAGGTGTATATCTGTTGTCTTCAAATACCACCAAAACCTCTCTCTCTCTTTTTTTTTTTAACAAAAAAGAATACTTGTCCAAACAGCTGCAGTATAAAACAACTTGAACAATGGGTTTTTTAGGGGACTGACATTCACTCATTTCCATGCATGTTTTTTTATTTTTCAAACATTTCAATTTATGATGCACACTAGGGATTAATATAGCAGTTAAGCTTCTGGCAACTCTCCTAAAACTGATTTACCGAGTCTATAATTGAGACAAAGATACACAAACCTCTGGATTGCAGGCAGTCATCGACATGGGATTGACTGCATCCATACGCCGAAGTCTTCGTCTAGGGCTGATGGGACAATCTTCACAGCTAGATCTTGGGCTCTCCAATTGCATCTCTGTCTCCTATGACAAATGTTCAGGTCACTACTTTAACACCATCACTCCTGAATGGCTTGTCTTTAATGTGTGCGGCCTTATTCTTGTGCCAAACATTACATCACAGCTCAGCGTCTGTCCTCTGGAGTTGCGGCTGGCCTGCAGGCTGAAGACATGCTCTTGGAGCTCCACCAGCTGACTCCTCAGAGTGTCCTTCTCAGCAAAAACACGAGCAATTGTTCCCTGCGCCTCATCTCTTGATAAGTAAGCCTGTAAACCATTGAACCATGCTTGATTATTTTACACCAAACAGGACTTATTTTACACAGAATAAGCTGAACACCTGCATGCTGCAATTGCAATGTCATGATGACCATGATTGTGCTACCTCTCACTTAGATCATAAAAGTACAGGCTTCAGTTAGGCTCTTTCCCTTCAGTCAGGGAAAGAAAGGGACAAAAGGCAATGTAGAATCCCAATGCATATGGTTCTTGTCCACTCACTTGTATTGATTTCAGGTTGATTTGGTTTCATACACATTCATAAACAACAACATTTTCATTCACACCAAAGTCTTGATACTGTTCTGCTTTACTGTTTTTATCAACCTCAATCCTTTAATCATGGTCAAATCTAAATGCTCACATTTCCCACTGACATTCTGAGCAGATGTAGAAAATAATAATGTATCAAATTTTATAGCGCTTTTTAGACCCTCAATGCGCTTTTACATTGGATTCATCATTCATTCACTCACACAGTCTCACCCTGGTAGTTGTAAACTACCTTAGTAGTCACAGCTATCCTGGGACAGACTGACAGAAACATGGCTGCCAATTCGCACCTACAGCATCTCCGACTATCATACACCACTGGAGGACACACACTGGAAGAAAAGCGGGTTACGTGTCTTGCCCAAGGATACAACAGACAGACTAGGAATAGGGGGGAATCAAACCACCAACCCTCCAGTTGATGGACGACCGCTCTACCTCCAGAGCTATTTCCACCCCTGTAACCCAGCAGCACCTGTATAAGGTCTCTTTCCTTGTAACTTTTCAGTCTGATATTTTTACTCAAACCGGTTATGGTTTGTGGTTGCTTTGTGTCTGTTGTCTTAATTTTGTTTGACGTATCTTTTACTTCGACTTATGTGTGTTTCAACTCCCTTTAATTTTTTTCCCCTTGTTATTAAACTTTTGTGCTCCTCAAACAAATAGAGAGTATGAAACTGTTTAACAGGATAAGGTGAAATGATGAACTTCATAAACGAGCCTGCCAGACTCCTCTCCGAGATTTGACCTTATATGATACAACTTGTGTGATCTAGTTGTCCAAGGCATCACTTTCACCATTCAGCATTACATAATGGTGTTACAGTGTTTTGATTCACCAGAATCAGGTATTTCAGACAGCCAGGGGATCAGTGAGGAAGTTGCGCAATAAAAAGTGTCAATGTAGGTGTTGACGTCCCTGCCAGTAGGCCCTGTGTTACACAGGATATCACTGATGTGACACCTTAAGCTGGAATCTTTCAGTTTTTTGACGTATTCGCATGGACACAACAATGTAGGAAAAACACATCACAGAAACTTGTGGTACAATGACGCACAAGTCATACCTCTAATTGGCTATGATGAAAGAGAGAAAAACTCTTACATAACATATTTAAATATGGGAAAAATGAAGGGCACTGTTGATGTTTTTGAAGCTTTAAGCTACAGACAGCTGCTCAAGACAGCATCAGGCTGTTTTGTCACTGGATCTCGAAAGGACTTTCAGTTTTCCTAATAAATACCCTCTGTCAAAGCTTTTGTAGATCAACAGTTTATAAAAAATGGCAAGAGACACAGAACAGCAGATGTGTAAATTATGCAACAACATACAACAAGCATGATCCTGTTAATTATAACCTGTTTGTGATAATCAAAGCATGTTCACACCCTCAAGCAGGGTGTGGTCGGACTGTACATGTCATAATTCATAGCATTAATGACGTTACAGAGTACAGCTGTAGTCAACCAAAAACAACACCTGGTAATTCATAATAATTCATAATAATTTCTTCTTATCTTATCTTATTTTGGCAGGACATAAGACCATCTTGTTGTGTTATTAAAAGTTTTTAAAACTCTGAAATGAAATGAAGTGTACACCTTATTCAAGCAAAACATAACGGCTCTCAAAAAAAGTAAGCAGGTCTGATATCCCCCCACTTCAGGCATCCTTAATGCCAAATGGCATTATAGTGTCTCTTTTAATGAGAGAGCAGGGCTCATATCCAGCCTGGAGGAAATCCAGCTGTAATTATTGACACCACACCCTTACTTAAGTGGAGGTGTGGCATTAAGATGTGCTTTCTTATATGTAACAATGACAATGTAACAAAAGTGTTGAGCCTGACATGTAATAAAAAAAAATGTGGTAACTGATCCACAATGTACAAAACCCAATTCCATTGAAGTTGGGAAATAGTGATAAATGTAAATAAAAACAGAATACAATGATTTGCTAATCCTTTTTTAACCTATATTCAATTGAATACCCTACAAACACAAGATATTTAATGTTCAAACTCTTAAACTTTATTGTTTGCAAAAAAAAAACATAATTAACTCAGAATTTCATGGCTGCAACACATGCCAAAGTATTTTTTAGAGGGGCATGTTTACCACTGTGTTACATCACCTTTTCTTTTAACAACACTCAATAAACGTTTGGGAACTGAGGAGACTAATTGTTGAAGATTTGAAGGTGGAATTCTTTCCCATTCTTGCTTGATGTACAGCTTAATTTGTTAAACAGTCTCCGTTGTCATATTTTACGCTTCATAATGCGCCACACATTTTCAATGGGAGACAGGTCTGGTCTGCAGGCAGGCCAGTCGAGTACCCGTACTCTTTTACTACGAAGCCACATTGTTGTAACACATGCAGAATGTGGCTTGGCATTGTCTTGCTGAAATAAGCAGGGGCATCCATGAAAAAGACGTTGGTGGGATGGCAGCATATGTTGCTCCAAAACCTGTAGTGTACCTTTCAGCATTAGTGTTGCCTTCACAGATGTGAAAGTTACCCATGCCTCGGGCACTAATGCACCCCCATACCATCATGGCTTTTGAACTTTGCATCGATAACAGTCGGGATGGTTCTTTTCCTCTTTGGCCCGGAGGACACAATGTCCACTATTTCCAAAAACAGTTTGAAATGAGGACTCGTCAGACCACAGAACACTTTTCCACTTAGCATCAGTCCATCTTAGATGAGCTTGCGTCCAGAGAGGCTGGCGGCGTTTCTGGATGTTGTTGATAAATGGCTTTCGCTTTGCATAGTAGAGTTTTAACTTACACTTACAGATGTAGCGACAAACTGTATTTACTGACAGTGGTTTCCTGAAGTGTTCCTGAGCCCATGTGGTGATATTCTTCACACAATGATGTCAGTTTTTGATACAGTGCCGCCTGAGGGATCGAAGGTCACGGGCATTCAATGTTGGTTTCCAGCCGTGCAGATTCTCTGAACCTTTTGATGATATTATGGAACGTAGATGTTGAAATCCCTACATTTCTTGCAATTGTACTTTGAGAAACGTTGTTCTTAAACTGTTTGTGAACAACTGCGTGAGCAAATAGTCAAAGTGGTTAACCCTGCCCCATCCTTGCTTGTGAATGACTGAGAATTTTTGGGGAAGCTGCTTTTATACCCAATAATGGCACCCACCTGTTCTCAATTAGCCTGCTCACCTGTGGGATGTTCCAAATAGGAGTTTAATGAGCATTCCTCAAATTTCTCAGTATTTTTCCCACCTTTCCCAACTTCTTTGTCACGTGTTGCCGCCATTAAATTCTTAAGTTGATTATTATTTGCAACAAAAAAAATAAAGTTTATGAGTTTGAACATTAAATATCTTGTCTTTTATAGTATATTCAATTAAATATAGGTTGAAAGGGATTTGCAAATCATTGTATTCTGTTTTTATTTAAATTTTCACAATTTTCACACCTTTTTAAAAAGTTGTTACACTGTGGGCAAAAAGTTGTGACATTTTGAGCTCAGAACATAGCAGTGTTTCCCCTATAGTGTATTTAGCAGGATGGTCTGCCCTGCCAATGAGATCCCAACCCAGAAATTGAAGTTGTAGATTAATATATACATTTAATTTTTATTTTTATCAAACAAAATTGCCTGTAAAATATAATTTATGTAATTTCAGACTCTAAAGCTCGCAACCGTTTTATAACTTTAAAGAAAAATCTATCTCTCCAGTCTTCAGCAAGGAGCGGGGATCTCTGCTAATGCCTCTCTCTCTCACAACATACACACATGCTGACGTGCCGTGCCGTGTAGTTCATAGGCGTGGCATGACAGCACTACTGATTCTGGTATTCTGGTCATGAGCGCTAGCCACTCATATCCTGCCAGGCTCCATTCCATTGTGTTTGCCACCAACAAAACAATAAAAAAACTAGTCATGGAGCACTAAACTGTCCCCAAACATTCAGCACCCCAATTGAAAATATCTGCATTCTTCAAAAAGATGGTATGTAGTTTTGCTGACACCACACACTGGCCCTCATTTGTCAAGCTTGCGTATGGCAGAAAACTTGCGTACACCTTGCGTATGACAATTTTGACGTGAGGATCAGCATTTCTCAATCTGTATGTGAGTGTACGCTACGACCAAATCTTACGACAGGTCTGACATCGTGTACGCAAGTTTGAGTCAGTGTGGATCTGCGGTGCAGCAAATGTCTGTCTCAAAATAATTGATATACAAACCTCAAACCTGTCATTAAGCACAATCAGCCAGATTTCATTAAAGATTAAGATGTAAATAAAATTAAATAAATTTGTTATGTCCTTAGTGAATAGGCCTATTTGATAACTCTGCCCAGAAACACTGCCACAGAGCAGGAGCGCTGTTTTAACATTGCGCACACGCGCCACTGTGGAGCGCTGCCTTTGACTCCTAAAAGGCAGGTGTCTCTGTCTTGGCCCAGCTGCGGGGACGTTGTTGTACACTCCTGAAAGGGTGATGAACATCATTTGGGTCAGTTCAGTTTTGTACAAAGTTGCACTGGCGAATGGAGTGCCGTTGGCTGTGCCAGTGCAACGGGAGGACCCGATGTCCGGAGAACAATAACGAGAAGAGACTCCACAAAGGTGCTGTACAGAGGAGACAGGACCTTATCGATGGATTCTGACATGTAAAGTGTAAGTTTAGAAAGTACTCTTACTATTTAATCAGTGATAAAAATCCAATAGAAATCCATAAAAATGTGCCTCAGGGGCAGCAACACACCGCTAGGTGAAGTTAGTAATTATTTTTGTTCAGCCTCTGTCAGACTCTCCAGTCTGCTCTACATTACAAAGACGCAACAAATTAAAACTAAGTACTTTCAATAACAGGAGCGGCGTACCCTTTGTCACGGCAATAAACAAATATGAGGCATGTATGAGATATTAATTTATCTTCATGAGCAACTTATTGACTAATGATTTATTCAAACTTCAGCCACTGTCCACTATTCCGGCGCTGTTCAGCGCCTCCATAATCCTGCTCCAGACAGGAGTTTTCTGGACTGCTTTCATACCAGTTTTGATGCTTCCAAAGAGAAAATCCTTGTTAGTTTCCACCACAGATATGAGGATATCCACTTTCAGCTTGGAAAAGTTTCGAATCTTTGTAATATTTCTCCTCTTTAATGTTTGACCTCAGTGGGCGAGGCTTCTGAACCACGAATATTTAAGGGTGTAAACATGTTAATGACGATCGATTTAAGCCGCCGCATTTATCAAGACCTGATCATATGTACGCTGGGATTGGTCAGATAAGAACCCTTTCATAAATGTCACGTGTGTACTATCGTAGGATGAATCCTGTGTCAGATCTGCACTCAGATCTGCGCAAGATTGATAAATGAGGGCCACTCTCTTGTAGAAGCTCTCCCAGCCCGGAAAACAGTGTTGACTTATCTCCTGCAACCCTGTATGACGTATGCGGAGTGACATATGTCTATGTCACCTCCCTACCACCACCACCACTAAAGCGAAAAAGCTAGGGGAAACACTGCATATACCATATATGGGCAACTTGGTTCCACCTTCCGTCACTATACAGATTTGAAGCCGAAAAGCTCTCTGTATTTCCAGGATTTTCTCCACCTACAGGATCTACCACTTACGCAGTAACATTGTACGCATTTGGCAGAACAGTCGCTGAGAGTCGCTGTGATGACGCTCGGCTCAAACAGTGTATCCCTCAGATGAGCTACACAATCTTCATACGCCCATAGGCTGTTACAAGTGTCAATCATAGAAAATATAAACCTCCTAATAACTTTTAAAAGCGGAGCTGCACATTAAAAAGAGGACTTGAGCACAAACCAATCTTACGATAACTACATGTCAACATCGCAAAAATCATATTCTGTGTAATTCATTTCTAAAGTTTGTCCACAACTTCATAGGGATTTCTGAAGGAGGCGGGATTTATGACCTATACTGCAGCCCATCACCAGAGTGTGCTGTTCTCATGGTGGCTTTACCTAGCAAGGAGGCAGACAGCGTCCATTCTGTATGCAGAATATGGCTCAGAATCCTGTTACATCATCAACCAGTTATTACATTTTGGGTCATTGTTACATACTGGACTCTAACATGCCTGCTGTAAGCAGTCAACAAAACCAAACAAATCAGAAAATAAGGCTTCTATTCTGCTAAACATATTCAAAGTTTATACTCAACCTTCGTCACTTTTGGAAAAATGTTGCTACACCACTGACATTTTTCTGTGGTGTCGGTTTGTTGGAAGGAAGATTGTGTGCCACTGAGCTTGTTTAAGAGCTCATTTAAAAAAAAATTCTTTATCTTTTAAATAAAGAATAAATGTTATCAAGTCCCCCTCTCACCTCTGAAAATTATGGAAGAACCTCTTTTCTAAGGCAGGGTGTGGAAGCTAATTTAGGTGTTGTTCAGTGACAAAAGTAATAGTGTTTCATTAAACAGGTTTTACTGGTGTCTCCTGGCAATTAGATATAAATATTGTCACAGACACTTACAAAACATAGAAACAAGAATGTCAAAAAGCTGACAGACAAATGATCTCCACACATCGGCACTGCTGACATCTGACTAGCTGACATTGCAACAGGAAAAACAGCCGACAATATGTGTTAAAAGGCAGAGAAAAAGAGAAACAGAAAAAAATGCCTCAATAATAGAGTTCCCAAAGGAAAGTCAATGAGAGAGTGACAAATCCTCACCTGATCTCTTTCTGCCTGCAGCTCTCGCATCTGGTTCTGGATCACAATGCTCTTCTGCTGGTGCATTTTACAGTCCAGGGTCAGCTGTTGCACCTGGAGGTTCAGACACTCCTTCTGATCCAGGAGCTGAATCCAAACACAAAAATGGTAATCTGATGTGGCAACAAGTGTTTCAGGGAGATATCTACAGCTTTATCAAGTTGATTTAATAAACAAGTCGATGTACCGATAGACAAACAAAAACCTTAGTTTTGGTTCTCTGAAATGGATTCTGTACATTGTTACCACTGAACAATCTCCTTTTTGTTTTGTTACTTTCTGCTTCAAATCTTATGTATGTTTTTTTAAAAGGACTAAAACTGAGAGCTCAAGAAAAAAAAAGAAAAGAAAAAAGAACTTTGATTAGAAATTTTGACCAAAGGCTTTTGCATGTTAAGGCTCAGAGGTGCAGTGGGACAGTCAAAGGCTCTTAATAGCTTAAAAACATAATCTGCATTGCCTTTTCATGACGACTGAAAATACAGAAAAAAAAACCTTACTCACTGCTTGTTTCTCTTTTAACAACTTTTCACCCTCCTCTCTGTAACACCTGAGCTGCTCTGCGAGCTCAGCTTGGCTGCCTATAGCCTCAGCCAGATCCTGGGCCAGGATGTCCTGGTGAGCCTGGCAGAGACACAACACACACAGACTGTATGAGACATACACATGGAAGTAGTCTCAAAGTCCCCCATCATCTCAGATTTTAACATAGATTTGATCATTTAACAGTTTTCCACCTTTACAAGCTGACAGGGAAGACTTTTGACCTCCTCTTGCAGTTGAGGAGTGTCAACGCTAGAGGTGCACCTCAGCGAGCGTCGCTTCTGGAACTCATTCTCTGTGCGTGCCTTCTGCAGCTCTGTCTGCAGCTGATACACCTGCAATCTCACAAGAACAACATTGCTTACTCATTGCATTTTTTCTATATTTTATAACTGAAAAACGCACATTTGTGAGAAATTACAAATTAACACTTAATTATGTTCTACTCTAATGTAGTAATATTTTCAAGAGGGTCCTTTTTAAGCAAAACATTCAATATATCATGGATTCAAATGCTCTGGATGAATACAAGTGAAATCCTAATGGAATTGTAGAGCATCTCAATAGAGGATTCAAATAAAACAGAGCCAAGGTGCCAAAAGTTGCAGGTCCTTGAAATTAGTTAATATCAATTCATGGACAATACTACTACTACTACTACTACTACTACTACTACTACTACTACTACTACTACTACTACTACTACTACTACTACTACTACTACTACTACTACTACTACTACTACTACTACTACTACTACTACTACTAATAATAATAATAATAATAATAATAATAAAGCATCAGATTTTTATAGCGCTTTTTCAGAGACCCTCAAAGCACTTTACAATGGATATAACATGCATTTGCTTCCACAGTCACACCCTGTTGGTGGTAAACTACTACTATATTCCTCAAGGGAAAGAATGCACAGTTTATTAACTGACTGTTTACATTTAGCAATAGATACAAATCTATGATGAGTAATTCACCACAATCCCTCTGGTCATGCAAGAATTTGTCCACAGACTGAAAAAGTATTTGTTCTTGTTCTCTGAGGCTTTTGGAAAGTGGTAGGAAACTGATCCACTTTGTGCCATTACCAGAGTTACAATAATTCAAGAGTTCAGCTGCAAATAAATATGAAAAATGTGCTGTTTTATTAGGGGTGGTATATACATACTGAGTACATAAAGTAGTTAAAAGTAGTTTGTATTTGTTTTAGGCTTTAACACTTTTGAAGTCAGTTTTACTTATTAAGCGTGTGGCATCACCTCAGCTACCACAACTGGCTGTGTTTGTGCCTCTCAACAGCATTTTTCCAGATCATGCACATACCTGCTATTAATTAATTTTTTCATTAAATGAACGGCTTTTCTCGTTAGTTTCCACTAGGGCTGTCAGCATTAATAATGCAGTTCATGATGCTTTAACTTCACTGAGAACAAACCACACCATAATCTGTAATGAACGTCATCAGCTTAAGTTCAAGTGGGAACAACTTCTCAAAAATGAACACATGCCATACACACATCTCCCTGACATGTGATCATTATGATCATTAGCGCGCACGCACACACACACACACACACACACACACACACACACACACACACACACACACACACACACACACACACATACACACACACACACACACCAAAGAATAAATATGGAGACACTTGTTTAGCTTTACTTCTGAGCTTTTGAACTTTCTCTTCCTCTTTCACTGTCTCCCTATCTTAGCTGGTGGAATCTCCGAGAAATACCTCCAACTTGAGAAGTAAAAGTATATGGCCATTAATTAACAGAAACCTGTCTTACAGGTTGAACATCTTGGAATTTGTCAGGGAAAACAAACTCTGACGTAGGGACTGAAGCAAGGCTTCGGGTGGCCTGAAAGAGGGCAACTTACCACAGGTTGAAACAACTTTTCCACTTCAGGCCTGGTGGGTAGTAATGCCCCAAAAGGTGCAAATCATGAGACTTTGATGAATCACTGTCTGCCAAACTACCTTTTTAACTAAATACAGTCACTAATGGTCTCAAAAGCATCAGAATTGCAACAGCTAAAAATGTTAAACTCACTACATAAAACAGCAGTCCACAAAGCAATTTGGCATATCCTGGTGGATACAACTAAACAGTGACCATAAGATGTCTTAGTGTAACTGAGTCTCACCACACCCTGTAGTTGTGAGATGTGGTGTTCTTAACCTGGAGCTGAAAACAGGTCACTTCTGTCCTTCTGTGATCCGAGAAAGGAATTTTTGTTCTGAAACCCAATACTATCACGTTCTTCATGTCAGCTCTTCTGCAAACTATCAGAAAATTGACGTGGTCTATTTTTATGTCCAACGAAGATAAACTTAAGGATGAATTCACACATAAAGTGCTTTAACTCCCTCGGTTTGTGTTATATGCTTTCAACAAAGTCAGAGGACATTCAATGTAAGTTGTAGTCATTGCTGAAGAAGTGCTGAAGTACCAGTGTCTGAAGGGTAACATAGTGATAACTTTTGGTGATTGTATGGTACTGTAATTGATCTGTCTTTTCCTTGTGTTTTCATTTCCTCATTTATATACTGATGTATCATGCACTGACAACCAAAAACAAAGCTCTAAACATAAGTGTTCAAACATAACATTTACAAATGCCTTCAGCAAGATATACAGCTGGGGAAGAAATTATCTCAGACACTCCCTCTGTGTGACTCCTTGGAATTCACTATGGTGTTAACAAAGGGAGGAGGACCTTTGTTGTCATGGCCAGCTGCTTGGCTCTGAAATTGTGCTAATCTATGAGATCAGAGAAAAACAACACCAAGGTAAAAGACTAAATACCAGAGATTGCACAGACAACACACTGCTTTTCCTTGTGCATGTGATTTGATAATGGATTGTCTTTTTCTTACAAGTAAACAGACACAAGGAGGAAGGGAGAGCTAATGTTTGCTAGCAAGTGTAGAAGTGTTTTGTCCCTGACAACTCTCAATGGACTAAGTAATCACAGACTTCATTTTAGTCTTTTTTTTTCCACATTCAGAACTATTTTTCACAAAATTTGGTCTTTTTTCCCTCAATGCTATAAACTGCTGTCCAGGCACTTAGAACAGTATACTTTGCTTTAGCATCACCTATTGGTTGTATGACCACTTGTATAAAATGCAGAGAGATCTCAGCAGACCAGCTTGGTGTTATTCTTCATTCAATACTTAGATTGGCTCATCGTGAGCATTGCCCGTAAGTAATCTTTTTTTATACACATGCTCATCTTGCATTATCAAAGATAAATTTTCTTGGGTTAGATATTGTGTTTCCTTTGATGCTTAGTGCTAGATTACGGCTGATATGTCTAGGTCTAGGATATGTGAGCACATCATACCTTAGCAGCATATATTTACATATTCGAGCACAGTTTGTGTAATGTGGCTGATAAACAGTTCTGTAGAAAGCAACATACTCTACAAGAGTCTACATTAAAGCTGGAGGTAGAGCACTACATCTTGACTCATGTTTTTCATTTAGAGAGTTTGGCTGGCTCTCTATATTTAGGACAGTGCGTCTATTTTTTCTCCAAGTGCACAATGAAAAAATCTGTTCCCCATCCCTAATTATTTGTATTTTTGTACATTTCTATTATTGTCTCAGAAGTCAATGCAGCCTCCCCTTGGTACACATTTAAAAAAAAAAATTTGTACTGCTACTATACTTTATATTACGCAAGGCCTCCAAACCAAAGCATGAATTATTTTGGTGATGTGAAGGAGCTTCAGAAGAGCCACCAAGACATTATACAAAAGTTTTCACTGGCAGTGTTCATAGTGCAGTAGGTTTATATTCTAAATCAACATCAAGCGGCCATGCTTGGGTTACAGTTCTCTAACCTTGACTTTATTTAGTACGTCTCCAGAGGTCAGAGTTGTGTTGGCACCAAGGTGGTATGAATGAGTGTCCTAAAGTGGCTTACCGACTATTATGGAGAAAAACACTGACCTGCAGGTTGAGGTCATGGAGGTGCATGTTCACAGCTGATTTCTCCTCAATGGCAGCCGTGTAGCGCATGTACACATCACACTTTTCATCCTTAAGCTTAGTGACGTCGTGTTGTAAAGAACACAGGTGCCTCCGGAGGCGTTCATTTTCAGACTGGAGGCATCTGGACTTCTCATCCTGCTCCATCATTTGCCCAATCTCTGATTCCAGGGAAGCACAGCGTGAGCTCATCCTGCCTGCCTCACATCGTGCTTCCTGAAGCTCCTTCTGCATTCCTGTCACAGCTCTGACCAGATGCTCTGTCAGCTCGGAGTACTTTATCAGGCCTGCAAAGAAAGCAATGTGGGTAGGACACACAGTAAGTATGGGTATGTGAAACATATCGTCCAAGATTTTGTTTAGCATTAGCTAGACAAAAACACACTTGCCAAACTTGATTTGATCGTACTTGCTTGATTTCATCTCAGTACTTGCTTTGATGACTGTGATTTTTTCTTTTTCTCTGTTTTTTTTAATTAGTTGTCCAATAGTGATATATTAATATCATATCAACATCTAATATACTATTGACAAGAGCAAGCTCATGCAATACAAGACTTCTACAAACCCATTTTTTGTGTGGCTTTATGCATTTATGGATGAGAACATAATATCACCAAAGTTTTTGCCAGAATTTCCTAATAAATTAAGGGACTAGCTTTTCACAAGACCCACACTGTTTGCAGTAAATAAAACACAGAGATAAAAATTCCCATCTCCAAACTGCATGAAGACTCCATATCACTGACCACTGAAATTTGAAGGTTCAATGCTGGGTTTCCGTCCGGTAACTTGGGTGTACAGGGTTGAGTGGTTGATCATCAGGCTTTCCAGTAAAGCCACTGCACCATTCCTCCCCTGGGTCCTCAGCAAATCTAACATATAGCCTGGAAACAGATGCGGATGTTCAATATTGTCCAATTCAATTGAATCAGCAGACATCTTTTAGACATGCATTCAAAACAAAAGCTAACAGACAGATAAAACTGTTTCCTCTTCAGTTCTTTTTAATTCAGAAGTAAAAACAAAAACTGCCTTTGAATTTCTTTTCAGAGAGAATGCAACATTTTTTCACACAATAATCAAACACTTGAAAAATTACATAAGCACATTTTTACACTTTAAAACTCTGATAGGCAGTATGCAATACTGGTTTAAGTGATAAATAGTCATTCTGAGCACTTGAGTGTTAGTTAGTATTTCTTGTTTTTTTAATTAGAGATTTGACAGTCACTGTAAACAAACCGGTTTCAATAAAAGATACTTAATCTGCAACCTGAACTGCAACTCTCTGGCTTTAAACTCTGTTTCAAATACAAGAAGCAAGAAGTGTAGTCAGAAATCTCACTCATTCTCATGCTGAAGTTGGTAAGGTTGTGGCAAGAGAGAATCTCATCCACATCCATCTCATTGAGCACCCTGGCCTGCCTCAGGTAGGGGATCAAGGTGCATGGCCGCGCTCCCAGGGAGATCCGGTGGCGGTTGTCGTTGATCAGTTCCCAAAGCTCTTCCTCACCCAACTCTTTCAAGTCTTGACCCTCAGGAACACAGTCCCCTGCCATCCTGACTTGACAGAGGGAAAGCTGCCTACTCCTGATTCTGAAACACACACCTTCAGCTATAAAGAGAGATGCCAGAGAGAGCCATCCTGAACGAATACAGCGCAGAACTGACAGAAAAGCAGAGGAGTGTTATAAAGGGACTCTTTCCACGCCCTGCTGATGTTTGTGTCATAGCATGTGTTCGTGTTTGTGTGTGGGCGTTCAGGAAAACCAGTGTGACAAGCCCTCTGTGGTTCAGTGCAACAAGCTGCTGCCCTGCTTAAGAACACACACTAGAGCAAACAGAGCTGAGGCACATACACATTTAGGACACAAACACATGTACACACAATACCCACGATACCTCTTCAATAACACTGTTAGGGGCTTCATAAAGTTTGTTTGCTTTTATAATCTATCCAGGTCATAAATCTCTGCCTACTTGCATAAATGACTGAGACAGGATTTTTTTTGTTGAACTGGGTTGAGCCACAGCTGGTTGGTGTATGTGAGGAATGACTCTCAATGATACATAAACATTAAACTGCATGTGAGTTAGCCTTAATAATTTCTAATCACAGTAAAGCAAACACACATACCACACTGTTGACAGGAGCAAACACTGAGCAGTGACGTTCAAAGTCTCTGTTAGAGCAGGAAATAGGGGAGGGAGGGGATAACTGGTCATTGCAAGGTCAAAAGATTTACTGTTCACTTCCTCACATTTTCAGTGGAAAGTGTTCACAAACCTGAAACAAGAATGCAAACAAAGTGAAGCTCTCATGGCGACATACTGTAAATGATATACAAGTCAAAGACCTGAAAGAAGACAGGAAATACAGAGATCTCTGCAGTAACAGGAAATGTGATCATTTATTTCTGTACTTCCACTTAATGATGAGTTTTTAGGTCAGGACAATAAGATATGTGTGTTGCAATAATGAGAGTACAAAAACTGTGGCGAACTAAAAACATAGCAATGAAAAGTGTTGACATAAAGTATGATTGTAGCACCCTAACAAGCAGAAGATAAAGCTCATTAGACCTATAAATTAATCAAAAGGTGATCCCTCTGCACCTGCAGGTATGAACTGTATTGCAGCATTGTCCAAAGTACACAATCCAGTCTCCTGTAACCTGACCAGCCTCTTCCAGCAATACAAAGCTTACCTATCAGCCTTATATTATCTAATGGAGTAACTAAACAGTAGGGATTTTCCCATGAATGTCTTAGATAATGTTTAAAGAAAGAGGATGAGAAATGAAAAATCAACAACAGGTAAAATTGGCTCCTGTCCTGAAAAGAAAAAAACAAACAAACAAGCAAATACTGTCACCTTCATCTGTTTTGTTATAGAACAACGGGACCAGTGAAATTTCAAGATTACACAGCAAGGCTATCAACCTCAAAGCTAATAACCTCCCAATGGGTATACCACTATTTCAACTGATACTTTTTTAAATGTTAAAAGTAATTTCAAAGTTACACAGAAAGCTCAACAAACTGTTGAAGTATGTGGTGGTTACAAGAGTTCGTTCCCCCCTGACTGTATTTTAACTTTTTAAACTTCCTTAGACTTGTTGTGCAACACCTGTGAAATGTAAAACTGAAAACAAACAAACAAACAAAAAAAAAAACAGGTGCATAGTGTTATTGACCATGACTGAAAAGGACATTTCAATCATGGGGTTAAAGCTGGGGTAGGCAGGACTGAGGAAGTGCCAGTTTTTGGAATAAATCTTGAATGTACCCCTCCCAACCAGTTTTCCCCTCAGCTCCTCCTCTCCCCTCCCTCTCCACTCCAGCAAGCTCCATCCCCAAACAGACGCTTGTCCTTGCTCGTATGGTTTCAATTAAATTCAGATATGATGCAGATAAATACTTCAGATAATTACAAATGGGGCCCAGTCAACGTCAAAGTAAAAAGCATTTGTGTTACTATAGATGCCAACAGACTACCAGCAAACACAATGGCTATGTCTCATTTCAGAGACCACATCGGGATAAGCGCGCTTAACGGCGCTTAGCTGAGTGCACTGCCATTATGTGCCGTTATGTGCCATTAAGTACCCTTCCTGTGTCCCATTTCAGAGACCATAACCGTCGAACGGCGCATTTGAAGCGTGCGTGAGGTCATCACGTGGCACGAACGGTGTCCCATTTGGCACAAAATACTAAGCATGCTTCAAATTCGGTCTCAAAACCACACTGCCCCCGCCCCTTTTTCAATCGTGCATTTATGCACGCTTTCGTGACGTTGGTATCCCAGAATTCTTTGCGTGCCGCTGCACAGCTTCGCATTTCGGGTGAGAGGCTGGACTCGCTTGGAGACGCAGCGCGTCTTTAAAGAAAATACAAGAAATCCAAAATCAGCAGACAGTCAGCTCAGGCTGTATGAGAGCATGATCTCTGAACTCACTAAAATCTGTTAAGCAAACATTATAGATTTAGAGACAACTGATCCGCTCTGCTACAGCAATCAAAAACATTAGAAATAAGAAAGCTGACAAAACTACAGCAGAGGATCAGGACAACATTGTTTTTTTTGTGTGTTTTTTTTTTAAGATTTAGAGATTAAAGTTGTAAATTTAGGAGAATAAAGTCATAAAGTAAATAAAGTCATAAAGCTGCTTTTGTGGAGGGGGAAATTCAGAGAGATTTTGTGGTTTCTGAAGAAACAATTAAACTGATGATGATCAACATTTGTGATCCAAGAGGAAGTTGAGCTCCGACGAGCACCACGTCTCTGACACCAGCGGTAACCTACACCTGCAGAGACACCAATGCCTTATTATGGCATATGGATTCATATCATATCCATTCACGGATATTTACGGTTGCATAAACGGATATGTCCTCAGCATATTCATTTCTACCTCTGCAAAAGCAGCAATTTCCTTCAAGAACACCTGTTTTTTTTCCTCGTGGAAAAGACGTATTTCTCATATATTCTTTTTTAAGTCTTTATACTTATGACACTGTTATGCTGATGTGCCAGAGGATGAAGTATCTTCTTGTTTGTGAAACCTATACTGAAGCACAGTTACTTTAAATGCTTCATGGCCCTAATTTTAACAAGTCTCCTCTGAAATAACAGGTTACGACTTTATTGTCATAAATTAATGACTAAATTCTCATAAATTCACGACTTGAATCTTGAAGTCTTTAAAAAAAATTCTCAATATGGCCCTCATAGTCCTTCATACAAAATAATCATTGGATATATTTTGTGGGAATGATCTGTGTTTGTATGTATCTACTATTTTGTGTCCGTGCAAGGTCGCACAATTAAAAAATAAATGCTGCGCTCCGCGGCTTTTCAGTCGTGACGCGAGCCTGACGGACCATCTCACCCCTCTGGTTGGGTTGCCAAATGTCCCCGCCCTCAGGCCCGCGTCACGGCTGACTTGAATAAAACCCGCGGATCGCAGCAGGTGCAGGTGTTAACAAGCGCATGTGACAACTTCCAGACAATGGAAGTCTTGAGCATATGGCAAATGGCTTTTGCGATCAACGAAGAGGAGACGCTGCGCCGCCGAGTAAGGTATATTATTTGATGAGAATGCGCGCCGAAAGTGGAGAGGTAAACCTGTTATTTTATCTGGCATTCATCAGCCACACAATTGTTGTGCCATTGTCACTCCCTGTGTATCACGTGAATTCCCCCTTTAATTCACAACAGTGCATGTCATGGAAATCTTCATAGGTGTCAAAAAATATTATTTCGTTTACGAACATCAGCTGAAAAGCCAACATTGGCTGTTTGTACATGAGACATTAACCTGCACAATTCACAATCATTGCAAGCGACATCCATGCCATGACAGTTCTTTCTCCTGCTTTGTTCCTAACGCAGACCGGTCCCTTGAACTGCAGGTTAAATACGGGGTTTCCGGTCCTCCAACAGTTTTTCGCCGGCGACGACACCAGGGAGGACTTCAGGCTGAGCAGAGAGTCCCTGGCAGTGCTGCTGGACCTCCTCCATCAGGATCAGGAGCGGAGGCATGGATGGAGCGCCACAATAGAGACTCTGGTTCTCCTTTTTTGGCTGGCCAGTGGGGCATCATACCGGGTGGTCTCAAGGGTGTTTGGGATGCCCCGCTCCACTGTCCACCGCATCGTCCACCGAGTTACGGAGGAGGTAGTGGCCATTCGCCACAGGGTCATCTACCTCCCGAGGTCCGCTGACGACCTGGCGGCCGTAACTCGGGGGTTTGCAGGGCTGGCTAGGCATCGCGCTTTTCTCAAAGCTGCCGGTGCAATTGACAGCTGCCATGTACGAATTAAGCCACCAAGCGGTCCTGATGGTCACTGTTACATTAACAGGAAACTGTTTGCGTCCATCACTTTGCAAGCAGTCTGTGACCATCAGGGCCGCTTTATTGACACCTACGTGGGCTGGCCGGGGTCTGTGCATGACGCCAGGGTACTCCGGCACAGCCCACTGTACAGGCAGAATGTCTACCCTCCTCCAGGGCATTTCATTCTCGCAGACAGCGGGTACCCGTGCCTCCAGCACCCACTCCCCCTCATCACTCCCTACAGGCTGCCGGTGCGAGGTGTGGTGGCCCAGCGCTTTAACGGGCATCATGCCAGGGCACGCTCTGTAATTGAGCATGCCTTTGGCATGATAAAGACCCGCTTCCATGCCATCTTTTTAAAAGCGCTGGAGATCTGCCACACCTTTGTGCCACAGATACATCATCACTGCACACAATATTTTTGTTATACTTGAGTACATATTAATTAATTAATTAAATAAATAAAAACACGAAAACTTATTATATATTATTATACTTATATTGTTATATTTTTTTATTTATTAAAGGTCTATATACTTTATGTTCATATAAATATTCCTCTTAAATTCAGGTCATCACCGCTTGTGTCGTCCTGCATATCTGCCTGGGGGCCGGTGACACCAAAAGAGGATGTGCAGGACGGCATGCCGGGGGATGAGGTGGAGGACAGGCTGGAGGCAGTCAGTGGTGCCCGCTGGCAGGACAGATTGTCTGCAGAGGTGTCGGCCCTGGAGGAGGTAGACCACGACCATGTCTACCTGTAATCGGCAAGTACAATTCATCTAAAGTTTCTCCTCTGTGTGGCACAGAATGTTTGTTGGTTACTGATCAGCTTTTTAGATCTCAGAAGATGCGACTTAAAACTTGTTGGACTCTGTTAGCCAACTATTGTCTCTCTCTTTAAAACAGACATGGCAGCCGTTGAACCAGCCCTGCAAACCCGGATGATGTGGAGGACAGTGGAGACATGCAGCCCAAACACCCAGACCACCCACATGATGTCCCACTGCCAGTAGACACCAGAGTCTCTATTGTGGTGTCCCATCCAGCCCAGCAGCACTGCCAGAGACTCCTGCTCAGCCTGGAGAAGAGGAGGCACCATGACAGGGCAGGCAATAGCCCAAATGTCCTAAGTTTCTTAAGTTCTGTTTATACAGTGGTGCCTGTTTGAGTTAGCATTTTGCCAATTTTTCGCTCCGCCAAGGAGGTTATGTTTTTGGTAGCGTTGGTTTGTTTCTTTGTTTCTTTGTCTGTTAGCAAGTTTACGGAGAAAGTTACAGACGGATTGACCTGAAATTTTCACCAGAGGTGCGTCTCAGCCCCAGGAGGATCCCATTAAATTTTGGTGGTGATCCGGATCACCTTCTGGATTGTTAGAGTAATGTGTCTAAAAGTTTATAGAAATTATCAGTAGCTTTAAATGCCTTTACCTTTTGCTTCTTAACACATGAGCAGACACGTGTGTTTTTCTTACATCTCTGAGCTTGCCTTCTTCCAGTAAGCAGATAAGCAGATGGGTACCTGTCTCCGCTGTGAACCGTGCAAGCTGTACCTGTCTCCGCTGTGAACAGTTAACTACCACAAAGGAGACTGTGAAATGTCAGCGGTCATCTTGTCATCTACAGAAGAAGTCTGCACATGCTTACTCTAGTATAATTATGCGTTATGAAAGTGCTTACGCTGCTGCAGATTGTTTCCCCACCCTTTAGTGTACACAGTGTTTTGTTTTGTACTAGGGACCACCCAAGGGATAATAAAAAGCGAGGAGACGGCAAGGTACTCTTCAGATTGGTAGGAGATTGTAAGTGAATGTATCTCTGTCTGTTCTCCTCGTGAGTAAGAAATCTAACACCATTGTCTTTCTCTTCTTTGTGTCTGGTCTCATTTTTTGCAGGTTTTAGACCCAACAGGATCCAAGAATTTTTGAAGGATTCTTTATCATTGTGAGATCTTGGAATTTTTGCATTTAACTCTATAAAAATGGCCAGAGTCTTTAGTAAAAAAAAACTATACAAAAGGATCTCAATGAGTTTTATGAGGTGTCAAAGGTTGATCCTGATCCAGACAAAATTCTGGATACTGTGATCCAGAACACAAAAAAAAAAGGGTGTTGTTGGAATTTTCAATGCTGAAAGATAACCAATGTGTGGTGGCTGGTTAGTTGTGTGGACCCAGAAGCAGACACAGAAACAGAGATAAACTTAAAGTGTAATTTAATGTCCAAACAAGGTTGAAAATGCAAACAGAGGAGGTCCGGTAGGCTGGTTGGCTGGCTGTCGTAGTGATGGGCGCTCTGAAACAGACGCTCCGGCGCACGTTTCAAATCCGGAAATGAAATTGCCTTGAAACACTGTTCCGACGCTCCGTTCGATTTGGAAAAAACCACGTGACCTATGACGTCCGAAGCAGTAACTGTTTCATTCTCTGAATGAACCCTGGTAACCCCTTGACTGTCTCGAAGCCACGACCCCTGGTTCGATCCAAGGAATGAATCATATGACTGGCCCTGTGCCAACCAAGTGCCAGTTTGCCGATCTCTCGATTCTGACAGGTTGAAACATTTTCAAATTTTGCGCCTTGACAGCTTTTTAAGCGTTTCAAACAATGAACAAAATGTGGGTTTGCAGTAGAGGCGTTTGCATAGTTGTTGAGTTGATTTATCATTACATTGCGTTTTTGCGTGTATTGATCATCATCATCGTGGACATGGAGCCAGCCAGGAAGAGGGGCCGTTCTGAAATGTGGCAATACTTTGAACTCATTGCCCATGATAAGGTGAGTTTGTTATTATAGGAGGAGTCATTTGTTTGATTATGTGCGCTAACTGCGCTAATCCTCTATAAGAGGTTTCACAGCACATGAACTATGCAGCCACTGAGGCAGTATAACACAAATTCTCTGACATTAAGCTTCACGTTACAAACATTAACACCACGTTGTTTAAGATAGATTGGTTAATAGTCGGATGGATGTTCAGCAATCAGTATTCATTTTCAGGGCTCTAAAGTCTCACGCATTCGGCGTGCGGCACACGTATTCCCACCCGTTCACTTGCCACACATTGTGTTTCTCACATATTAATATTACCACGGTGACGTCCACCAAGTTGCAACCTTTTAACAATGGAACAGGTAGAAATCAAGTCAGTTCCACTGAGAGTAAAGAGGCTGCGTGCCACCCGAAAGCTAATCAAATAAAGTATATCTACCGAACAGCCAATCAAAAAGTAGCATTGCTGTATCCGGGTAGATTTTGGAGACGGACACTCGCTGAAATGAAGCAGGTTTCGTAAGCACAACTCATCATTACCTCCGCCAAGGAGCTTATGTTTTCTGTAGCGTTGGTTTGTTTGTTTGTCTGTTAGCAACTTTACGGATAAAGTAACCGACGGATTGGCCTGAAATTTTCACCAGAGGTGCGTCTCAGCCCCAGGAGGATCCTATTAAATTTTGGTGGTGATCCGAACATTCTGGATATTGTGACCCAGAACATACAAAAAAGAGGGTGTCGTCGGAATTTCCAATACTAAAAGATAAGAAACGGGCGGCACGAATGTTGAAATAGGCAGCAGTGTGGTGTAATGGTTAGCACTGTCACCTATCAACTAGTAAGTTGTGTGTTCGAATCTCGGACAGGGCATTAGTTTTTATCTAATGTTTTTCTCTTCAGGTTCGGTGCTTGTTGTGTACTTCTGAGCTGAAGTATCACAACAATACTTCTTCTATGAAGAGGCATTTCACTGCCAAACATTCCGACCAAGGAACTTCTGCAGCTGCTTCAGCTACTTCTGGTGTTACCCAGGAGAACGCAGGAGCAGGAGCAGGAGCAGGAAGAGGTAGGCTATATTATTGATGAAACAGTAACACACTACAATAACATATTTTAATATATATGACTATATTCTATGACATAATGCTTAATCTTCCCAAAATTTCAAATAAATCCTCATTGTATGTACTGTAATTTATTTATTTCTTTGTTTCTGTCTAGTTGGCCGGCAGCAGCAGTTGGATGATGCTCTGGTGGAGATGGTCGTGAAAGACTCTCAGCCGTTTTCAATTGTGGAGGACCGTGGTTTCAAGGACTTTGTGGCACTCCTTGATCCCACATACATTCTGCCATCAAGGACAGACCTAAAGAAGATGGTGGTGCGCCGTTATACAGAGGAGAAGGAAAAGGCCAAGGCCGTCATGGAGAGTGTGGAAGCTGTCAGCCTGACAAGCGATATGTGGACCTCCATAAACATGGATGCTTATCTGGCAGTGACGGCCCATTATGTGGATGCCTCTGACAGGCTGGCCACAGTGGTTTTGGGGGTGCTGCCATTCCCAGAAGCACACACTTCGGATAATATTGCCGCTTCGACGAGGTGTCTCATGATGGAGTGGGGCATTGAGAGGAAAGTTTCAAGCTTTGTGACAGATGCAGGAGCAAATATGATTGCCAGTGGCAGAAAGTTGGGCCTGAGGTCTGTGCCTTGCTATGCGCATGCATTGAATTTAGTGGTGAAGAAGTCCATTGAGAGCACTCCTGGACTGGAAGACCTTCGAACAAGGTCACGTAAAGTGGTGACCTACTTTAAAACAAGCACTAGAGCTAAAGAGGTATTGCAACAGGTGCAGAAATCCGCAGGACGCCAGACCATGAAGCTCATTCAGGAGGTGGACACTCGCTGGAACAGCACTTACGACATGTTCCAGCGGTTGTACGAGGAGAGGCAGACTGTGGGGTCAGCTCTTGCCGTGCTCACCACAGAAGTACGACCACTGGCCTCTGAAGACTACGAGACCATGGCTGCCTGCATAGCGATGCTCAACCCATTCAAGAAGGCAACAAATGAACTGTCTGAGGAAAAGAGAGTTTCAGGGTCAGTGGCGATCCCAATGACCAAAATGCTCTTTCATTCTATAATAGATCTTACTGGACAAACAAGCCATGCCACTGCAAAAATACTGGGGCAGAACCTGATTCAACAGTTGACATCAAGATTTGATGGCCAGGAGGATTCAACAGCTTGCAACCTGGCCACACTCCTGGATCCCAGATTTAAAATGATTGGGTTCCGCAATCAAGGTTGTGCCCAAGCAGCGATGAGACGACTGGTGTCAGAATGTGCATCTGTAATGAGAACCTCACTACAGCTGTCTACAACAAATCAACCAGAACCAGCTCATCCTGCAATACCATCAGCAGATAATGAAACTCCAGCAGCATCCACAGGTTATATCATAAAGATTATATATACCAACTATATATACCAAGTGGGATTATAAATCATCTTAAAGTCAGTGATACACCTTCAATATGTCACAGATGGACTGGGAGGCAGGCTTGCAGGTAAAAGAAAAGTGTTTATTTTGATACAGACTGATTACTGTGATTTTTGTCTTTTTGAAGGGAGCCTTTGGGAGCTGCTGGACAGAGATGCAAATGAAGCCAGGAGGTCGAGGAGCACAACGGCTGATGCGAATGTAGAGGTCCAGCGCAATATGACAGATCCACCAGTAGAAAGAACCAAAGACCCCCTGGTTTATTGGACAGAGCAAAAGAATGTCTACCCGCATCTTTATGTACTTTCCAAAAGATTTTTATGCACACAGGCAACATCTGTGCCATGTGAGCGCATATTTTCAAAATGTGGAGACATTGTCAGTAAAAAAAGAAACCGTCTAAATCCAAAGACTGTGGAAAAAATAATTTTCTTGAATAAAAATCTTTGAAATGGATATACTCTACCTGTGCCATAGTTTTTGTTACTTTGTGTACGTAGAAATGTTTATACTTTAGTGTGTGAATATATGAGTCGTGGTTTCTTAGCATAACATTGTTTCACACTTTTGTTTATTTAAGACTTCGGGACAAAATAATGAAATGACATTCACAATATTTCTCAGCGTAACATTAAACAAGGTATGAGCCATTTGCTTGATTTTTTTATTTACTCATGAGCTGCCATAATAACACAATATACAAAAACATCTTTGGTTGAATAGAGAACTAGATATCCAGTCATTGTTTCATGTATGTGTGTATACATACTATTGTTTTACTGTCTAAAGACCTTCGAACAAGGTCACGTAAAGTGGTGACCTACTTTAAAACAAGCACTAGAGCTAAAGAGGTATTGCAACAGGTGCAGAAATCCGTAGGACGCCAGACCATGAAGCTCATTCAGGAGGTGGACACTCGCTGGAACAGCACTTACGACATGTTCCAGCGGTTGTACGAGGAGAGGCAGACTGTGGGGTCAGCTCTTGCCGTGCTCACCACAGAAGTACGACCACTGGCCTCTGAAGACTACGAGACCATGGCTGCCTGCATAGCGATGCTCAACCCATTCAAGAAGGCAACAAATGAACTGTCTGAGGAAAAGAGAGTTTCAGGGTCAGTGGCGATCCCAATGACCAAAATGCTCTTTCATTCTATAATAGATCTTACTGGACAAACAAGCCATGCCACTGCAAAAATACTGGGGCAGAACCTGATTCAACAGTTGACATCAAGATTTGATGGCCAGGAGGATTCAACAGCTTGCAACCTGGCCACACTCCTGGATCCCAGATTTAAAATGATTGGGTTCCGCAATCAAGGTTGTGCCCAAGCAGCGATGAGACGACTGGTGTCAGAATGTGCATCTGTAATGAGAACCTCACTACAGCTGTCTACAACAAATCAACCAGAACCAGCTCATCCTGCAATACCATCAGCAGATAATGAAACTCCAGCAGCATCCACAGGTTATATCATAAAGATTATATATACCAACTATATATACCAAGTGGGATTATAAATCATCTTAAAGTCAGTGATACACCTTCAATATGTCACAGATGGACTGGGAGGCAGGCTTGCAGGTAAAAGAAAAGTGTTTATTTTGATACAGACTGATTACTGTGATTTTTGTCTTTTTGAAGGGAGCCTTTGGGAGCTGCTGGACAGAGATGCAAATGAAGCCAGGAGGTCGAGGAGCACAACGGCTGATGCGAATGTAGAGGTCCAGCGCAATATGACAGATCCACCAGTAGAAAGAACCAAAGACCCCCTGGTTTATTGGACAGAGCAAAAGAATGTCTACCCGCATCTTTATGTACTTTCCAAAAGATTTTTATGCACACAGGCAACATCTGTGCCATGTGAGCGCATATTTTCAAAATGTGGAGACATTGTCAGTAAAAAAAGAAACCGTCTAAATCCAAAGACTGTGGAAAAAATAATTTTCTTGAATAAAAATCTTTGAAATGGATATACTCTACCTGTGCCATAGTTTTTGTTACTTTGTGTACGTAGAAATGTTTATACTTTAGTGTGTGAATATATGAGTCGTGGTTTCTTAGCATAACATTGTTTCACACTTTTGTTTATTTAAGACTTCGGGACAAAATAATGAAATGACATTCACAATATTTCTCAGCGTAACATTAAACAAGGTATGAGCCATTTGCTTGATTTTTTTATTTACTCATGAGCTGCCATAATAACACAATATACAAAAACATCTTTGGTTGAATAGAGAACTAGATATCCAGTCATTGTTTCATGTATGTGTGTATACATACTATTGTTTTACTGTCTAAAAGCATCCATAGTATTTGACTGCAGTTCTAGCTTTTTCGCCACCAGGTGTCATTATCACTGAAGCTTTGAAGCTTCAAACCATTTTGAACCGATTGCTTCAAGTGGTTCAATGGTTCATAAAAGCTTCATTTGCCCATCACTAGGCTGTCGTGTGGGCTGGAGACACTGCAGGAAAAAACAGGAGAAGGAAGTTAGTGAACATGTACAGGATCACGAGGAGCAAAGTTCTGATACTGATACCAACGAGGTAGGCCAGGAGACCTGTCTTTACCACTTGGAAGGGTAGACAATACTCAGGCGCTGAGACTGAGGGCTGCAGGCTTCTTAAAGGCCTTGATTGGAGATGTGGAGCAGGTGTGTCATCTCACTCAGCCTCAGCGCCGGGGGAGGGAAGGAAGCTCTGGAAAAGAGTAAAGCTAGACCAGGGAAACAGGGAAACACAGGAAGTCCAGCCAAAATAAAACAGGATGAGAAGGCGTCTCACGATACAAGGAAGTGTACTCTTACAAATATTGCATAATAAATCACGCATTTATGTATCTAATAGGAGCTTTGTTGTTTTAGGAACATTATGAACAGTGAACATACCAGTTTAAACACATAAAAGTTAATAAAAGACATGTAACAGTAAAAGTTTTGGTGTGAATCACAATATAAGGGGGGACATGAGCTGCTTGGTTGAGGTCTGCGCTCTCCGAGTGCTTTTCTAGTTTGTATGTTGTTGACCTCAGTATTTTATTCCATTTTCATTTTCCTCACCCTTTAATAAAAAGATATAACTCAGAAATGAAAACTCTGAAATTTTTATTATGCGAGGATGTGTAGTGGTTGTGTAATTATTTCAGGAGGGAAACCATACTTCTGTGGTTGGCACCTGCCGTTTATTCAGCATCTGGCAGAATATTCACACAGTCAGGTCTTACACAAGACATGCAGCCGCTCTTTCACTGCAAGCATAAAATTACAACATAAGTACCCTCTTAAATATGGAAATTAAAAGATAATTAAAACAAATAATCACGGAGATCACAACATGGGGACTTACCAGGCAAGCAGGGCAGGACAACTGTTGCTGCATAACAGGGCATGGCATAGTTTATCGGAGGACGTGGAGCGTGCCTCACAACAAGAGGGAGCGGCGTCTGCCCTACAGCCAATCAGCATTAAGGAGCAGTTGGAGGAGGTGGAGAACAGCTCTGTTTACAGCCAGAAAGAGTGGGCCACTCAAATATTTTAAAATGTTAACTACACTGACATAAGAGAACATGGCAATATCACGATATTCCCAAATATCATCAATAACTAATAGCTATTGACTGATCTTAAAAGCTTTTTTGTATATACACCACAGAAAAGATGCTTCTTTAATGGAGTCCTGCCTACCCCGCCTTTAATCCAGTCACAAAAAGTGAATACTGCTTTTATCAAAACCTGGCCTACAGCTCTGTACAAAACCTCTGCATTTGACACCATTGGTTATGCCGCTCTACTCAACAGGCTGCATATCTTGGGATCTGGATTACAGCTTAAAATAGTTTTAGTCCCATTTATGCAAAAGACATGTACAGTTTAACAATCGTGATGTCCCCTCTGCTCCTCTGCTGTGCAGACTTCCCCAGGGTTTGGTTCTTGGGCCTCAACTGTTCCCCCTTTACATGCTTGCTCTGGATCAGTGGTTCTCAACCGGGGGAGGCTTACTCACTGGCCATTAGTACAAAGGACGAGTAGCAGAGTCCCAAGTGGTAGACCAATTTACTGCCTACCTCATCAAGAAGCTGCATGCACAGTGTGGCAAGTGTGAAAGTAGCCTACTTTTTTTTCTCAGCCACTCAAACAACCAAGAAAGCAGGATAAGCGTCCTGCTTTGACTGACTGGTGACAATCACTCACTACAGGGAGACAGACTCACACAGTGACCAAGACCAAGATTCAATCCCCTTCTACAAAAAAGCCCTTGCCATGTGGAAGTCATTAATTGGGTGAGTCTTTTTCTCAGCTTCCAGTTCTGTAGTCTGTTTTATGTTTAGTGGTTGCTGGTCTGATAATTTGCTTTTTTTTTTTTTGTTTCGTTTTTTATTTCCCAGGAAAAAGTTTGTCAAATGTTAATTAAATGTTCTAATTTTGACTGAGTAGATTCCTAGTCATCCAAGTCATGGTTTTCATAGGTTTCTCATAGGTTAGTGACAGCTGGACTTGTTGGAATTTCCTTGGAATGTTTCACTTCTTGTCAAAAAGACATTTAGCTGAAATGTCTTAAGAAACATACACAAGCCCCGTTGTTACTGAGAAGAGTCCTTGGATAACAGAAATGGAAACTTGGAAAATATTCTACTGTTGTGTAAAGAAAATTCATTTCCCTATGCTGACCCATGAAGATCTATTTGCTTATGATCTATTTGCATATGATGCAAAGTATCACAAAAGCTGCCTGGGACACTTTATTTCAGAAAACAACATCAGAGCAGCCAAAAACAAAAATCTGTCAGAAAAGAAGTTAAATGAAAATGAAAAACCTTTAATTGAGCTGACTGAAGAATTAAGTGAGACAGTGTTTTCAAAGAATATGACCATCACAACACTAAGTGTTCTAACCCAGAGCTATGTAGGGAAATTCAGTACTGCTGAAGAACCTGCAAATTATCCAGCTCGGAAAGTATGTGGATTTTCATTCCACGTCCTGGAAAATCTGATCTGATCAAATCCTTGTTCTCTGCTCAGTCTTTTGCTTTGACATTGATCCCTGGCTGGTTCTTGTTCACAGCTAGTAGGCTTATAGTGACTTGAACTTGAATAATTGGCCCTACATGACCTGTGATATGAAACTTTAAACTTGAAAGACAGTATGTCATATAAATGGGGGGATAGTGTCTAATGAACTTCATTATCCCGTTCCTGGGCAACCTTCAATATGGTTTTGAGTCCTTCCAAAGGTTGGGTTCCAAACATGTGGATTCTTTTTATCTCCTTGTAGAGCTTTTTCACATATGATGCTCAACTTTTTGTTAAGCGTCTTCGAATGTGGTTTGCTTGCTGTCTCTGTTGGCTCAATTTCATACAGAGAACTGCAGTAAATTTAGAATAGATTAGTTGTGTTGCTCATTTATTTAATTTCTACATTTAATTTTTTATAATATTCTTGGTAACATGAAAAAGGCCTCAAATTTAAGCTCCACAAAAAGATCTGTCACTGTTTTGTGTTTTGCATGGAATGCTAACCTCCATCATTGCTTCATAAAGCTGATTGGTGATATGAAAATTTGTAATACAACACTACACATTCTACAATCTAAACATCAAATTAAGAAAAAAAACATATTTTTACTTTTATGTAGATACGTGTGTTACCTGTTATCGGACATTTGATTGGTGATTCCTTTCGTTTGTGTCACAGTGCATATTTCTCCCCCCTGCAAAGTCATGTGTGGGGGTTTGGATACAATTGTGAAGTCACAGTTCTTCCCCTGCTCTCATTGGATGAACCTAATTGACTTCAATTTACTTCTTCAATTATCAGGAATCTATTTAATGCTTTTCTGTATTTAGAGGTCTGTGATTCTTTTTGGTGATGTAGGGTAGACGCCTAGTTCATACCTTAGCAAGTTTGATGAAGAAAAGAGAGAGCATTGTCAAGTTATTGGTTTTTTATTTTTTTTTACACATTTGCCCCATTTGGATTTTCCCTTTTCAGACATTGGGGTAGGTGTAAAGAATAGCCAAAAAGAAACATTTTGCCCCAAAATAAAATTTCCCAACAATCCATTTCATTAATGGGAGACCCTAAAGATAGAAAAAATATGGTTGCGGTTGCTTCTAACTCAGATAGGGGTATCTCAAAAACTAAGCGTAACCCACCTCAGCCTTGACTGTTCTTAGCAATAACTGGATGATACAGATATGTTTCTCTATAACATTAACAAATCTGTGGACCAGCAAATGAGAAGGCTAAATTCGCTACAGGAGAAAGGGGTATTTGTAATTGTAATGAGTGACAGAGTAAAGGATTCAACTGACAATAGGTAGGTTTATGTATATTGAATTGTATTGGTAAAAGTTAGAAAAAGTAGAAAAGAAAAATAGAAAACAGTGTGCATTTACATATGAGCTCAGTAACAATATTTCACAAAATAAACCCCAAATAAATCGAAAGATCACAGTCCTTGTTGGGTGGCTCGCCACCACCACTGAGCTTCCCCTCTACCTTACGGAACAGGGAAGAACCCAGCAGAAGAAATCTTAATTCTTGAACCAATGGAAAGAAAAAGACCAGGCCAGAAACTCAAGCAGTATTTACACACACACTTCTTCAGATTAAATGTCACCCACACGGCTCATCAGCAGTCCAGCTCTCAAGTTTCCACGCATCCTCTAAATGCACGGTTTGCAACTCGACCCACAGGGGAAAAAAAGAAAGGACTCTGGTCTCCGTGCTGAATTAAAGCAGCTTCCGTTTTCCAAAAATCTTGCTCTCTTGCACCAAAAATTTAGTTTTATCTGCAGTGAAGGATCAGCGTGCAGCTACTTCGTCCAAATCAGAGAGAGAGAGAGAGAGAGAGAGAGAGCGGAAGGAGACCCCTGACCCTGATTGCGTCTGATCTGTTATGTTGCGTCATGTGAACTCTGCATGTCACCCGAATCTTGTACTTTTTCTTTTAAGGGCACATTCACATGAAATAAAATACCCTTTTTCACAGATATAATAATTTGTGTATTATTACTGTTTTTAACCTATTTATTGACCTTTTTAATATTTTTAAACCATGAACTAATTCATTTATTCTATGTAAAATCATTTTAGGCTTATTTATTTCACCAACCTTGATATTTATGTATGTATTTGTTTAATGAACTGATGATCTTGGCCTTTTTCATCAGAGCCTAGTAATCTGGGTTACACCCTCCCCTCTTAAAAGGTGTATACGTCCTGTTACACCCACAGGACTAAAAAAAACAGACTTGGGGGTTACTTGGGGGGTGTTTGCACAGCTCTGGTTCTGAAGTGCGTCTGCAAAGGCAAGGTTAAGGCCTTGGAAGAGCGACTGAACTATAGACAGCAGGGGATTTCCCAATTGGCCATATTGCAGTCGCTCAGGTTGTTCTCTGTGCCATAGTGAGCGTCTGGGAATAGTGTTACTCGGGCCCTCTTCAATGATGACTGGAGGGGTTGCTCTTCCTCCAGATGTCCCAGCTGTTGTTCCCTCATTGGTTCTGCTCACTGACACTTTCTCAGAAGGCTCATTGACAAAGGATCCTTCATCCTGACTACTGTCACTGAACGACAGGGCCGAGAGAACAGGTAGGCTTTCATCCATAATGTTAGGCTGTAAAGGAGACTCCCACAGCTGGACAGGTAAGTTTTCACCCTTGTGCACTGCAGTGTCTGAAGTGGGGTCATGGTAGCTTTAGGAAGGGAGTCCAAGGGGAAGCGAAATGCTTTCCGAACACACTGAAGGTTTGGGTCATCCCTAGACAAGGTGTCATACAGTTCATGGCTGATGGTCAATTTGTCAGCCCAAAGAGCCAAAATCACATCGTTGACGTGATTCTCATTCAACTTAACGCCATCAGTGATCAATGGCCCGGGGGTGTCGGGTCCATTGGTGTCGTCCAATTTGCACAAAAACATGTCTCTTTTCGTGACTGAGTCATCGAAAGGCCACGAGCAAGGTTGTGGCTCATCGTCAGACAAGTAGGGTTGCTCCGGAGAGCCTACACTTGCCGGTGTGCTTGTAGCAAGTTCACCCATCCTGGCGTAACACTGAGCCCGATTTCTGTCGGTTGCTGGTATGGGTAATGGTCTGCGGACCTGTGCCCATGTTTTTAGCTGTCGATAATCTATCAGGGGCTCAAACCGTTTTAAGAGGTCTTGACCAATGAGGAAAGGAATCGACTCAAGGTGTGACACATACACGGGGTGCATGATGTTCATTGGTCCAATGGAGATGTTCAACATGGTCATTGTTTTTAAAGTCATACTGTCTGCGGAGTACGTCCGAATCTCCATGGCGCAGGGCTGCAGCTTGATGTCCCTGTTGGACTGCACCATATTGCGCAAGTGGTTATAAAGCGTTGAGGACATCAAAGTGATGTCAGCAGCAGTGTCTAAGAGTGCTTCATGTTGAAGTTCATTTTCAAGAACGGTGTTGATGTTAAACTTCTGTGCAATGCCTTTCTCAGTGAGGTTGCACAAGAATTGGAGGAAAGGTGGTTCAAGCCGAATAAGTGAGGAGTCTTCTTCGGCTGGCTCCTCTGTGGAGTTCGCCTGCACTACCAAGACGGTGCTGGTAGATGTCGTTTCCTGTGATGTACTGTCCTGAGGTTCAAGAGCGACAGAGGTGTCAGCCAGTGAATGTGTCGCAGACTCCTGTAAGGACATACACACTTCCTCCTGAACTGCAGTCTGCTGAACAGACACCATGCTTGGCTCAGAAGTGTCAGGCTGGACAGCGGCGAAGGCAGAGAGATCTGCTTTATTATCTCCTTTTCTCCGTATTCTACTGAGTATTTGCCTAAGAAGTTTGGGTTCTTCCTCTGTCAGATCAGAGGACTTTGATTCACCTTTAGATCCATCACCCTTCTGGGGAGGATCTGATTTGGTCTTTGTACCCATCTCTTCGTCAGAGAGTACCGACTGAGACTGCGGGTAAGGTCGCTCGGAGTTTCATTCTCGGCGTGGACCATAATGATCTGACCGGTCCCGCCACCCTCTGTTGTCAGGTCGGTAGGGTCAATGGGTGTCATCCCTTCTAGGGTGAGCCCCACCCCTGCGAGGGTATGAGGGTGGACGATTTTCGTCAGAACTAACCTGGTGTTGTCCACTGTCAGACCGAGGCTGCTTCAGGTTTTGACCTTTATCAACTGGCTGATATTGGGGAGTTTTCAGATTCTGGGTTGGTCGGGCAGTTACAGTTTGAGGTGCATCTGAATGCGCACCCACGGCACCGCCCTCCAGATCTTTTAAAGCCAGTTCGCGGAGCTGTCTGCTGTTTAAGGTTCGGGGACAAGCAACAACACCAAGATGATGACTCGTGGTCGGATGAAGGTTTTCAATAAACAAAGTTTTAAAGTTTAGATCTTCCTCCATTTCAGGTTCATTTTGACAACCAAAGTAAGCCTGTCGCAGGCGACTGTAGTATGACTGGGGAGATTCCTGTCTCTCCTGTTTGACTAACAGTGCAGCGGCTAAACCAGTGGGTGTAAGGGAGTCAGAGAACTCTTCAATTAATGCCTGGCACAGCAGGTCATTGTCGTTCTTGACCCAACGGGGTTGTCGTTCAATGAAGCTGCTAACCTCTCGATTGGAGGTAGCTTTGATCAAGTAGATTTTGTCATCCACAAGAGCACCTGGAAACTTCCTCAAGTAGAAGTCTATGTCTTTCAAGTAGGTGCTTGGGTCTTCTGAACCTTTACGACCGGGTTCAAATCGTGTGATATTACGAGCCATTTTGTCAAGATCCCTGTCTGTGGGATATGCCGCTTGACGAGCAGCAGGCGTGGACTGAGGTTGGTAGCTCAGAGATAGCCCTGTGGGGCCGAGAGAGTATTGTGGCCCTTGTGAATGATACCCAGAAGGTGTCGGTTGGGAGAGGGGCAACAAAGTATGACCAGGGTTCTGTCCGGTGACATCAGGACTTGATTGACCTGAATGTCCTTTGGAGACACGACTCGGTCGAAAAGTAGGGAATTGGAGCGTCTGTTGATCACTTGGTGAGCTTCACCCGCTCTGATCTTGTTGGGGTTGACCCAGACTAAGTTTCTTCTGAGCCTCTCGGAGCATTTGCTTTAAATTAGCAGAATGTCTCTCTTCAGCTTTGAGGGCCACCCTTTTGCTTTCAAACCGGGCCTTCCAGTCCCTTGCATCAGTTGAGGACTGAGCTAGGCTGCTTTTCACTCTTGACAGCTCCTGTAATTGCTCAAGAACTGTTGACTTAGCATCTGAAAGCTGAGCTTCCTTTTTCTCAATGGTGTCATGCAAGTCTGAGATTTGGCTTACTAAGGAAGGGTCTTGATCAGGTGGGGATGGAGGCTCTGTTTGCATCTCATCCAAACGGTCTCAAGTCTGCTGTAGAGCCCATTCAGTGCATCCCAGCTCCCCTTTGAGATCATCAATTTCCTACATTTGTGCCCTTATTTGTGCTTGGGCCCTCTCCATGGCTTCGTCCTGTCTCTTGATTTGGACAGACATCACATCACACTAGCCGTCAGCTGTCATCCTGTAGAAACTCAACATTCAGTCAACCAAGTCCACACCACCTATGTTGGTGTTGTACTCGATGACTGCCAGTGGCCTTGACACTTGGACAAACCTTTTTTCTTTCTTGGACCATCTTCTGCATGTGTCCTGAGGTTCAATGCCATAGGCAGAGGATGCCATGGAAACTGGCTTCTGAGAAGGACTCCCTTTTTTTTTTTCATTTGAAAAAACAAGGGAAAAAAGGATGAAATAACTACAAATGTCCACTATGGAGGACATTTTTAAAACACTTTAATACTACGATAAAATACAGCTAAAATCATTCAGAAAATGTTTCAATGTGTTAAGAGACTTCTATAAAATATTCCAACAACATTTCAAGGCAAAATTTGCTAAAAAAAAAAAAAAAGCATTATGCACTTACTTTTCCTCTTCCCATAAAATGTGCATGCACTAATGGCAGCCATTTTCCTGAATGAGGGAGAAAAAGGTACTGAAACCACACCCCTTCACATTTTGTATCATCGAAAAGCTCTAAATGTCCTCTGTAGAAACCAAAAGGAGTTAATTCAGTAGTATGCAGTGGGTGGGAGATATTGAGGTTTACAATGGTCCTCCACAGAGGACAAATTTAAACTACTGGTTGTCAGGAAGACTTGTTTTATTTTTTAATAAATAAATACAGAAATTAATCGTGCTCCAATGGCACGCAAAGAATTCTGGGGATCCCATGGCCACAAAGAGTGCTTGGATTCACACTTACACAGGGGGCGGGGGCAGGGTGGTTTTGGGACAGCATTTTGCGGGCCCTCAGAAAAGCAAGGGAAATGGGACACCTTTAGTGCTGCGCGATGACGTCACACACACCACACATGTGCACTACCCTGTGTGCAGACCCTGAATTGAGACACAGTCTGTGCCATGTTTTTATAGGCCAAAGCCGCAAACCTGACTTTCAACCCCTCCGCCTAATCTGCTCATGCAAGCACTTATGTTACTGTTTGTTGATGAAAGTATATGAGCAAATCGTTTGCTCACACCTACAATCAGACAAACACATCTCCTTTATGTTGTCTAATCTAACCCCTCTGTCAAGACAAATCTAAATTTCATATGGCTCACTTGGAGAAAAATATCACTAGATTCATCTACAGGTTTAATTGTCAAGTTTGCAATAGTTTGCCTTTAAAGTTAAAATGAAAAAGCTCAACTTTCAGTGGTGTTGTGCCGTACCTTTTTCTCACTGTCAACAAATTAAGTACCCTAACTGTACCATCAACGCAATTTCAGATCTTTCTAAATCCAATTTTTAATTCAGTTCATCCCTGTTTTATTTCTGAGATTGGAACAAATTCCAGCTCTAAAGACACAGAGAAAAAAGCCTAAGAATAAGTGAACTAAATTGAAGTGATGAAGCAGCCTAAAGCTTAAAGAGAAAAGCAGATTGAAAGGATGTTTGCACACCTGAGAGCGACACCAGGGTTTATCTGTCTGAGTTTCTTTACAGTAAAATTTGAGATTTATCTCTTTCAAATTTAAAAGCAGCAACTTATGTTTCTGACTTTCACAAATTAAACAGCCTCTGTTCAGCTAATGCATAAATTACAAAGAACACCTGTTTTTGACTGCTCAGAGGCAGAGTTAAAAGAGGTAAAGACACACTTTACATCAGTCGCAGAGTGTGATCCGGAAGCAGTGACTTTTATCTTCCTGTGTGTATGTGCTGCAACATTAAATAAATATGCACAAGGTTTCTCTGTCATCCCTTTTGTTTACAATATGACTCTGTTTGGCAGCTTGATGCTATCACACCTCAGTGAGCATGTCTTTATAGTGTTGCCTTCACGAGCTTTGGCTTCGAAAAAAAATCTATAGGCAAACAGTGAACTATTAACTCAGAGAGATCAGATAATATGAGATAGAAGAGGAGGAAAAAAAGAATACACTCAAAATCTTGCAGAAGTCAAATGGTTATATTTATTTGCAACCTGAAGTTATCAGGTCTTTTCAGGAGTAGAGCTGAACACAGCAGCAAGCTGCTACCACCGCCCTCTCCCACCCCCTGTGCTGAGGTGCCATGGTGTCCTGCCCGGGCTGATGCAGGTGTGGAGTGGCCATTGGGAACACCGGGAGTTTCCCCAGTGGGCCAAACAGTGAATGTGCTGGTGGATGGCTGTTCATTTATTTATTTATTCATTCATTTATTCTTTCATTCATTCATTCAAAATTGCTACTACAGTAACTCTTCGGCTCTCTCCGGTCAGCCCGGGAACATACCGCTGCATATAGGCCGCCACACAACAGAGAGAGTCACAGAGGTGACGATTGATTGGCTCAGCCAGTTGCTTGTCCTTCAAGGCTTGCCCAATGGCCTCATATGATTTGCTATGGAGGCCCACCTACCCATTACAGAATATCCTGGGCTAACTTGCTCTCAAGATATTTTGCTTTGGTTATCTTGATTTAATTCTATACAATATGTTGCAATTTTTTTTTTTTTCCTTGGACCTCTCGTTATAACACCAAACATTAAACTACCTGTTATTGTTCCAGCCATAGCAGAGTTTCCAGGATGCCTTACCCGAGTGCAGCAGAACTGTTACTCAGGTCATAGCCTGAGTCATGCAATTAGAATTAAGAGGAGTCCCCGACACTGGCAGCTCTAAGTCAATGTGAGCTCCATATGACAACAACAGCTCCCGACCCTCTCTGTGACCTGAGGGAGCAACAACACAACTTCAGAATCTGTGCTTTCTCTCAGTATGCCTTCACTGACTCACAAATGCTGGCATGCAAACTCACCCTTTCACCAACCCTTTGTTGCTGGTCAGGTATATGTGGTCATTATGTTACCCACATTTCCTGAAGCCAAATACTTGGCTTGTATGTCAAATAAAATGTGCTTTTTTGACTGTGCTCACAGGATCTTTTAACCAACTCTTCTTGGATAAAACCTTGGGTTTAAAAATCACAGCATACCTCTGGTTCAGCAAAATTTCAGTCAGGAGATTTTACTCATTTCAAATATGTCATGAAGCTCCGTCATATTAAGCTCATGAGCACAAAAACAGGAAGTCCTACAAAAAAGACAAGAAGCAAAAGTATTGGCCATTGGGGGCTTACGGTTTCGGACCACACCCTGTATCCCCGTTAAGTTTGGCCACACAGAAAAGTGATCCACTGAATCTAAGACCACACCCAGCATAGATCTTTGTGTAGAGATCATGCTTAGAATTAATTACAGGTTAAAACAAACAAAAAAAAGGTTCTTTATCTTGTCATTTTAAAGCCATCAGGGTCACAATGTGACCATGTACCGGCACTTCTCCAACATCTTTATACTCCAAAACTCCCAGCAGACACACCCTGTAGTGACCAGTGTTACAGTACTTAGAAAGCATGTAACACTTACTGAGTCTGTTTCTACCCTTATTCCTAGATACCACATAAATACAGAACTAACTCTGGACAGTACAGCAAGATATCCAACATGTCACAGACGGATACATTTTACCACAGTCAAGCTTGTTTAAAGGTCCCATGGCAT